TTGCTGCTGCTGAGATGGTGTCGCACTGCCCTGAGGCGCTGAAGGACCTTGCTGGGGCTGCGGAGTCACACTCTGGGGCGGACCAGTGGTCCTCTGCTGCGGCGTCTGCTGACCTTGCTGGGCAGCGTTGTTGGCCTGATGCGCTTGCTGCATGGCGAACAACTGTTGCTGCTGCAAGTTTTGAGGCTGTCCATGGGGCATCTGCTGCTGAAGATGATGCATCATGTTGACCGGTCGCATATTGGGATTTGCTTGTTGCATGGCAGCCAATTGTGCGGCACTGAGGCCCTGAGTACCAGCAGGTAGCGAAACTGGGATCCCTCCATGTTGTTGCGCCTGCTGCTGCTGTTGCTGAAGCATCATTTGGCGCTGTCTTAGAATTTGCTGTTGGTGCAACATCTGAGGATTATTGGCAACTAGATGGAGACACCGCGTTAGAATCTTGACAGGAGACGAATATCAAAGATACCGTTGTTGCAAAGGGGTACATAGTTTGAAGGAGAGCGTTGCATCACAGTGAACAGTTCCTTCAGACGAAAGCCGACCACATTTTTGGGTGAAAAGCCAACCGTTCAATGGACATGCAACAGGCTCTCTCCATCGACGAACTTGGGCAGATTCGTGCACTCGGGGAAACAAATCAACCAAACAAGGGAGACAATGGAAACTCACAATTCTGCGCAAATTGCTGCTGCTGCTGGAAGAGATGCTGCGCTTGAGCCGGATTCAAATGCGATAGAGCATGCGCGTTCGGCACCGGTCCGCCGGGGCCTGTCGTGCCAGCGCCCGGAGGCATTCCCGCCATCATGGGGCCTGGCTGACTGACCTGAGGCCCCGCGGCCGCAGAGACTCCAGGATGGATCTGCTGCACCATACCTGCCCCGGGTCCTTGAACTCCCATGTGTGCGGCGTTGGGATGCTGGGCCTGAGCCATTGGGTGGCCTGGAGGCAGGCCCGGATGCTGAGGGATGCCTTGATGGGCAGGGAATGGCTGCGTCATCATCATCGCTGTGCGACGAAGTCCTCACCCGTGGCGGGATTCGTGAGGACTTAGCCGACGACAAGACAGAGGTGGAAGAGGGAAAGGGTGAGCGTGATGTCGAGATGGAGCGCGCGCCCGACGTGGAGATGACAGCAGGGCCGCTTCTAGCGTCGGGGCGGAGGCCAAGACGCAACAGGCTGGCGACAGAGCCTGCGTCGATATGGGCCAAGGACACGCGAGCTCAGGAGCATCGATCGAACGGGGGATCCTCCTCTGCGGTGCTGAAAGCCTCGCCAGGCGAGTTCCCAGTCCTGGGGGAGGGCAGAGGCAGCGGCTGGGATTTCTTAGGCCGGGGGCGTAGGAAGCAGAGTCGAGGTGGAAGGTTTCGGGGGAGGGGCTAACTTAGGGGCTGGGCGTGGTCCGGGTCAGGTCAGAAGACCCAGCGAACGGCACGCCGGGACCTCGCCTGTCGCGGGCCAGGTGCGATCGCGAGCGACAGAAGAGACGCGCCGTGTGCTCTGACTGCAGGCGTAGCACTGGAGCGCGAGCAGACACGGACGAGCAGATGGCAGAGAGCGGATGCAAAAGGGAGGCAGACAAAGCGATCGCGCCTGTCGAGCCGGTCGCTAACGTCGGGCTGCCGTCGTGAGGCTTTTTTGGGTTTGCGAATCTGCCGGACGCTAGGCAGTCACGTGACGCCGCAGGCTATTTTTTGGCGCGCGTTTTTCGTCCTTTTTTCTTTTTCTCTGTTTTTCTGCAAACGCTCGACACGTCGATGGCGACCTCGTTGTCGACCTGTTTTCTGCTCAGACTGTCCATCATCATGCAGGAATGGTAATGCGCAACCATCATCTGTGGATCAGATGGATGATCTCGATTTGTCTATGAGATGATGGCTGCTGGGCATGACTCATAGCAGGCTGACTGACCACCAGTGTGGTGTCTCGTTTGCACTCGATACCTTTCCTTTGCCCATCAGGTGAGTTGTGTGTCCTCTCATTCCCTCCGTCTCATATCTGATGTTTCCTTTCAAGATGACAAACTCCAAGAATTCTTCTTCTTTTGCACTGAGTCGCCCTTGAAGAGACAGCCCGGACCTTCCTTTCCCGGTTGGTCTGCTACTTGCCAGTACACCTTGTCTGATCACACTTTGTCATCGAAATCGCTTCTATGATCCTCGTCTGTCGTTGGTGGTCAGCGCTAACATGAGCGGATCTGACAGGTTGTGATTTGTCGCCGTTTTCCAACGCTGAGGAAAGCTGTGAACACAGTATATGAACACCGTAGTGATAGTAGCTTATTGTGTAGAGCTAGGCTAGGTTCAATGAGATGATTTTTAATGAATTATCAATTCCTGTAAATAGGAAGTGGTGGTAGGATAGAGACTAGAATGGAATCGATTGGCCTGGTTAAGTACAGGGTAGACACTTGCATTTCGAGCTATCCTTCATGAGACCAACAGGAATCCTTTAGCCTCTCTTACCACTGATGACATGTAGATGCCACAGCTGTAGACGCTGAATTTCCAATTTAGGGGAAAGATCCATTGACGTTAAAAAAAAATATTGCAAAAAGACAAATTTGTTGGTCGACGTGGGAATCGAACCCACGACCTTCCGCGATCCAGGAATTGTAAGGCGGACGCCTTAACCACTGGGCCAGTCGACCAAAGATTATCACTGTCATTTTTAGGGAGAAAATAAGGAATATACGGACTGCCAATCATAAGGTGTAGTATATACACCCTGCACTTTACTACAAAATTATTATTTGTAGCTTTTGTATGTCTGGACTATGTGTTCATCCATTATTATAGATCCACGACGCAAATTCCCGGATTGGATCATCGGCCACAATCTCAGGATACTCGCAATGTCGAGGACCAGCAGTCCGCTGCGGCAAACAGCGCAAACCGCCGGAGCGGAACGGGGGATTTGCCGCTGCGCACGTGGTCTGCCTGGCCGGCCGGACTTTTCTGGGCCGACATCAACGCAGGCCGCTCACCGTTTTCACCCAACGCCTTGAACTGCCCCGAAAAGGAAATCGGCAGGCCATAAAATCCTCTGGCCTGATGACCTCTCCCACGTTCCGCATCAGCAGCAGCAGCAGCTCCTCCTTTTCCTTCATCCATTGACTCCGTGGGAGCGTCAGGAGCTCGCCCCGGCTGCCCGTTGCAATGCAAACCACGTTGCTCCTGCCCACCCACCTCGCCAGACCCTGCCGCTTCATCGCCCGCCGCCGCCATCCCGCTGCCTGGACGCCGTCTGCTCGTCGATTCCACCTGTCGAGTCGATGGCGCTCCAGTGTTCCTCGTGATCCCCATGGCACGTCCGATTCGGCTCACGGCAGCAATGATGTTGCCAACGATGTTGCGCCAGTCGATGGGCACGTCGAGCCGGCTGAAGAGGAGGGCAAATCCACAACACCTACGACGAACACAACCCCTTCTCAGCGGCCATTGAACCGGCGTACAGGCCCGTATGGCTCGGGGATTCGCAGGGCAATGAGGAACAGGAAGCCCCCGCGGGAGTATACCCCGCCCGTGGCCACGATTCCGAGTTGGTTCCATGAGCACAATACAATCCTCTATAGCGGTGCGGAAGGACCGCAAATACAACGGCCACCACTACTCGCAGTCGAAAAACCGAACACAGACGCAGAGGCTCCTGTCCAGAAGGATTTGGCCCAAGGTGGGCCTGGAGGAGACAACGATGGATCCAATGAGCCGGCCGGTTCGGGTAATCGCTACGTGTTGAGCCATGCTGTGTGGGAAGAGCTCTATGCTTCCGCCAAGGCAGGCTTGATGCTGCCAGCAGCAGAATTTGCCAACGAACCGGCCGCTCTGAAGTCTCATCTAGTCCTTCAATATCCGGGGGAAGATGGAATCCTCTTCCTGGATGCGGTGGTTCAAAAGCTTGCCCGTAGTCTGGGAGCGAACCTGGTCACACTTAACGCGCAGGATATTGCTCAATTGTGCAGCGAACAGGATAGGGCAGATAGTGGCATGACGTCCCCGATTCGATCGCTGGGATATGAGGTCTACAAGCAACCCAGTGGCACGGCTTGGCAGGACGGTGACGAAACGGCGAATGAGGGCGATGGAGAAGACGGTGATGTGGAAGTATCCCCGTCGCGGTCTCGATCGGACCTGACGGCTCCACGGTTCATCACAATAGAAAGCACTCGTGACCTCTCCGATATTCAACTTCCGAACTGGTTGGGCTTGAAATCGCTTGTGGCATCCCTGAACGGATCGACCGCAGACGGTTCAGCCAACGCTGCCGCACGGAATAACCCCAATCGTGAACACCGATGGTATCGTCTCGTGAATGAACTGGTCTCCCCATCTGCTTCGAAGCGGCAGCTGTCCGTTGCGGAGGATGGATCGTCAGTGGATGCCAAGCAGCCGGAGGAGCGGATGGGCTCGAGTCCAGCGGTGATTGTCCAAGTTCAAGATTACAGGGACATCCAAGCGACACGGGAAGGTTCTAAATTCATCTCCTTATTGCAACAGGTTATCCAGAGCCGGAGACGAGAAGGAGAACGAATCTTATTAGTAGGGACGGTTTCACGGGACATCCACTCTCCGGCGGACCGCGAACGGTTCATGCACAATGTTCTTGACGATCATTTCTCAAGAACCCTGATTATCACTCCAGCCATGGATGCGAAGACGGTGGAGAAAGTGTTCACGGAGGACCGCAAGAGACGGACGATGGAGATTAATATCCGTCATCTTCAAGAAATGCTTCGTACAAGACTCAACGAAAACGCTACTCCGGTCGACTCGAGCATCTTTTGCGACCGCTCGTGGGCCCTGGACCCGACCACTGTCGAGGAATCTGGTATCGACGAACGATATTGGACCTATAACCACGTCCATTGGGTGGCGACTCTCGCTCTGGGATGTGCCGAACCCAACGAGCCTCTTAACCTCCATCACATTCAACGAGGCCTGAAGCTCATCGAGACGACAGATCGGGTCAGGAATGATTGGCTACAGGACAAACAGCCGAAAGTTGCATCATCTTCGGGATCCGGGACCCGCCGCAAGCCTTCGTTGGCGGCGCTGCGGAAGACATGCAATGCCCATGAGAAGAAGCTCCTGAGCGGGGTGGTCGACGCGGACAGCATTCGGACGACGTTTGCCGACGTCCACGTACCGCAGGAAACCATCGAAGCGCTGAAGACGCTGACTTCGCTCTCGTTGATCCGGCCGGAGGCTTTTACGTACGGAGTCCTAGCTACCGACAAGATCCCTGGTCTGCTGCTCTACGGCCCGCCGGGTACTGGTAAGACGCTGCTGGCCAAGGCAGTGGCGCGCGAGAGTGGCGCGACGGTGCTGGAAGTCAGCGGATCGGAGGTGTACGACATGTACGTGGGTGAGGGGGAGAAGAATGTCAAAGCCATCTTCACCCTGGCGAAAAAGCTGAGCCCGTGCGTGGTCTTCATCGACGAGGCGGACGCCATCTTCTGCTCCCGGACGGGGGCCAGCAGCCGCACGTCGCATCGCGAACTCATCAACCAGTTCCTACGGGAATGGGACGGCATGAACGACATGTCCGCTTTCATCATGGTCGCGACTAATCGGCCTTTCGACCTCGACGATGCCGTCCTCCGGCGTCTCCCCCGACGACTGTTGGTGGATCTCCCCACCGAGCAGGACCGGCGCGCGATCTTGCAGATCCATCTCAAAGACGAGCAGCTGGATCCTTCCGTCGACCTCGATGAGCTGGCGCGCCGGACCCCGCTGTACTCGGGTTCGGACCTGAAGAACCTGTGCGTAGCGGCTGCGCTTGCCTGTGTTCGGGAGGAGAACGAGCGGGCGGCGAAGCACCAGGGCCCGGAGCCATACCGGTACCCGGAGCGGCGAGTTCTGACCAAGGCACACTTCGAACGCGGCATGGAGGAGATCAGCGCGTCGATCAGCGAAGACATGTCGTCGCTGACGGCCATCCGGAAGTTTGACGAAAAGTACGGTGATCGCAAGGGTCGTCGAAAGAAGGGGCCGAGCTGGGGCTTCACGGCGCCTGGCGAGGCGGAGACGGCGGCGGAAACTGCTCGCGTGCGGACTTGAGCAGACGGCGATGGGAGGATTTATTGGGTTGATTTCGATGAGCATGGCTTGGGTTTGTAATACTAGCTTCTACGATAGATAGGTTCTGTACTGTACTATTAAGGCATGCTATAAATTCAGTCCTATTCGTGGCTTGATGCTGCGTAGGGAACCAGGATCGTCGTGGCCGCGTAGCTGGTCGTGTAGGAGTGAAGGATTCATGGCTTCCGACTGGCGGCGCTGACCTCCGGCGGACGGCGCCGCCCAGCAGAACCCCATCATGCGACCTTTTCCCCTCTCTGCTCTGTCTTCGCCCTCCCTCTGCTGTCCTCCTTCCAACGCAGCCATGTCGCCTCACTAGGTAGCGGTCGCTCCCTCAGCAACCCGAACCCGGGTGTCTATCGCTCTCTCGGCCAGTCTGTCTGGTGCTGCCTGCCTGGATCCTACTCCTTTGCGTTTTGCTTCCGCCTTTGCTGCCCGCCATGGCCTCCAACCCCTCCTCCATTTTCCCCTCTTTCCATCGCAAGCCCCGCCAAACCGATGCCGCCGTGAAAGAGAGCCGCGAAGCGGCAATTCGAGAAGCAAAACAACGTGTGCGAGAGGTTGTCCGCAACGACTGGTCCTTCGACCCGCCCTCGTCGCTTTTCTCGTCGTCTCCGCCGCCCGTCGCTGCGACGACGTCGTCATCCGCTCCTTCGGCTCCGGAGCTGCAGTCCGAAGTCCTCGAATGGCGTCAACGTGAATACGCGACTTCGGAGTCGGACCCAGAAGAAGAAGAAGCCGGAAGTGCTGCCGCAGGGAAAGGAGGTGATCACGATCCCTACCGGTTTGAGAACCCGGATGCCGTCAGAGCCAGCGTCGTGGAGCGCAGGCGCAGATGGCGCAGAGCGCTGGAGGAGGAAATGCGCTGGAACCCTGGACTACGGTTCTGGATGGAGCGGCGGGATGCGTGGACCGGGGCGAAGAAGCGACGGGTGATACGGGAGTCGTTGAAAGAACTGCAGGAGCAGCAACGACAGCAGTCTGGTGATGCCGCTGCACAGTCCAAGGATATTCCGTCAGGGACACCTTCCGCGCAAGGGCATGACAGTAGCTTGGCCAGCAGCGACGCGACTGACAAAGGGCCAGAGAGGGAGGAGACGTCCCGTGGATCGACGCCATCAGCGCCGTCTCCGAACGAGAAGATGGGGGCATTATCACTATCGAAAGATAGTAGTGGTTACGAGGAAGGCGATAATCGATTGACTACAGAAGAGACAGATTACGACTCGGAGGAGTCTCTGATCCCGGTGGTGGAACCACTCCTTCCCAAGTCCAATCCGATCCGATCATCCATCACACCAGCTCTTTATGCGTCTATCTACAGCAAAGTGGTTGTACAAGGGCTGACACCGACGATTCCAATAAACCTGGCGGACATGACCAAGGCGCTCGTGGAGGGGTGGAAGGCAGATGGACAGTGGCCCCCCAAGCCGACAGTCCCCCTTCCTGGGTCCGAGATCCCAACGCGAAGAAAGCAGGCCGACAATAACAACCATACCATTGAGAGTGCTGCTCCGGGCAACAAAGCAAGAAAGGACAGCCACAGCCATGGATCAGGCGTCACCCACGCCGTGAAGAAAGTGCTGGGGCTGGGGCATCATTCGTTTCATCTGCGCCGGTCCAGCCGTGGTGGAAGCCAGGCCGAGTCTGAGGCTTCTGGTGCTCGAGCGTCTGGAGAAATGTCCCTCACGGAAGTACCAGTTGTGGAGGAAGACGGTGGTCAACCCTTACGCTGAGCAGCTTGCTTGACTCGAATCAAACCTCATCTTGTTTCTCTCACATGAGTCCGACATGATGACTCTGCGAGAGTTTTCTTCTTCTTGTACTGTACTGTACTTAATATGACATGTGACGAGATATCATCGAAATGAAATGGAATGAATGAAATGAAAGGGAGTGAAATTAATAATAACCTCAATCCAAGCAAACCGAACAATTGATTAATTCTTCGATGATAGATATCGCAACTACTGAATAGTACACACAATATTTTTTTTCTCTAGAAGGAAAATAAAGAAAAGTCAGTACGCGCGCACGAATCTCCTCAATCAATAAATAAATATCATAAATATATGGCTTGTGAAAAATATCAGAGTCTAGCTACCATGACCTTTTTTTCCCGCTACCTACAAGGTAGAAATTGTGCTAATGAGAGGCTTCTGCCTACGTCTTTCTATGCCTGTCTCTGTCTGTGTGTGCGAACAGTCTTTATTCAAATCCTTGATTTATACTTGTAATCGTAGAAGACCGGCAAGATCATGTCTCTGTGGTCTCTCAGTTCGTGCGCCATGGAATCAAGCTCTTGCTGATGGGATTCAATTGTCTGTTGATGTGACTGAAGTTCTTGCGCCATGGAATCAATGTCTCGTTGTTGTGATTCGAGTTGCAAGGCGATAGAGTCGAATTTCTGATGCCACTCTTTGAACACCGACATCCCATATTCGTTCCCAATAAGCTTTTGCTCTCGATCGAGCCCTGTTGTCGTTCTTTCGAAAAGTTGTTCTGTCATATCTTTGACGTCCTCTTCTGTAGTATCTGCTGGCCCTCTGATCGGACGCATCAATACCCCGTTCCTTGACTGTTATACCGGAGTCAAAGTAGACAGTAGAAATGTGACAAAGGGATAGGCTTTACCTGACTTTCGAGATCCTCGGAACACCCTCTTTTTCTCTGAGGCACACCCATTTGACTGGAAGACGCTTTATACTTTTTCATTGTCATTTCGAAAGGGATTTTTCGTCCCCGGGCCGTTGACCCAAGTCTGACGACAAATGATCGTAGCATGACGAAGGCGGAAAAAAGAGAAGCGATGATGAAGTGGGTGGTTGAAGAGTAAATAGGATGCGAAAGAACTACTGAGTGAGGTACTAATAGACGGGGGAGGGTGGGCAGTGGAAAGAAAGAAGGACTTCAGAGTCACAGGTGACAAGCTGCCTTCCAATCAGGGAAGGGACGTCAACGAAGGAGATGGAGTCATATTGACTCTTCCAGGATTTTGTCTCGGAATGAGCCGTGGCTGCTGGTCTTGTGTCAAGTAGGTGTTCTAGTTTCGTTGTCATAATAGATCAATTCATCATTCTTTGTCGGTAAGAGCCCCATGACTGGGAGTAAAGCTGTACTTACTCTGTCATTACCTAGGCGCCATCCTCCGGTCACGTGAATATATATATCATCAGTAGATCGAATAGTAGTTGATTTTCCACCCAGGTGGATAGATTGCTTTAGGTTAAGTCTTTGGTTATGTGATGGCTTTTAAGTGGTATATTTCTCCTTCTTACCCTCTTTTCTTTTTACTTTTTTCCCTTTCATCTTCTCATAGTCAGTCCTCATTGAGACCGGGTGATTGGTTAACCTTATTAGTTGCAACATATTTATTTACAGTGAATCGCCTTACAGTTTCCTACAGGTTTTTCTCAAACACCAGCAACGAGAGACTATGAATGGGCAAGGTGAAAGAAACCTCCCCCCAGCCACCATCCCCAACGTGAATAGTTTCAGGATCGCCCAAGGTCGCCAACTGTCCGGCCGCTTTCAGGGCTGCATACTCCTCCGCTGTCGGGCTCTGCGGGCTCCCCTGCTTCAGCCACATCGTGTACGAGTTGCTGTGCTCGTTGTCCACACGGTAATGGGCCAGCTTCCCGCTTCCAGTCCAGGGCAGGCCCTCGATGGATACGGTGATGTTGGCGTCAGGCTTGGGCAGGTCGTCGTCGTGGTAGTGCCAGACGAAGACGCTGAGACGTCCGTCATCAAGGCTTGCCAGCACACCCACGTCCGGTGCGTCTCTAATGCCTGACGCTACGGCCGTGTCGAGCGGTACTTGGCCGGAGCTGGTGGCATCCACTCGCTGACCAGACATCTTCCCCAGCATCCGATGGAAGTTGATCACCGGCTTGTCGATGCCGTTCGTGGTCAAAACCCGGAACCCGTCAAAGTACGGGTAGTCGTCATACTCAAAAGCCCAGGTCAACGCACCCTGCAGGTTCACGCCGTGTTTGACGGACAGGTCGAGCGCCCTCGCAAACGAAGCAGCCGTGTACGACGGGTAGAGCAGGCCATTCCGATAGTCGTACTGCGGGGTGATGCAGGCCGCACAGCCATCCGGGTCACATTCGCTGATGATGATGGGCTTGTGACGGATCTCCGGATAGGAGGCAATGACGCTGAATGCGTCGTCGATATTCTGCAATTGCGCCGCAATCCCCATCTGGATGTACCCTCCGTTGGTGTTATTCACATACGTCGGGCTTCCCTTGGCGTGGAAGGAGAGGAAATCCAATGGCGACCCAATTTCCCCCGTCGCATAGTTCCTGCCACGCAGGACGTGCTCGATGAAATTCGCCAGATAGTCCCCTCCGGTACCTCCGGCAATCTCGAATCCGCCGACGCGAGCAGTCGGCAAGGCTCTTCGGACGGCATCGATGGCATAGTCGTGGAGCTCGTAGAACTGCTCGACCGTCCCGTTCCAGTACTGGATGTTGGGTTCGTTCCAGACCTCCCAGTACCAGGACTCGACCTCGCTGGCGCCGTATTTCTCGACGCAGTGCTTCACCCACTCGTAGACGAGCTCCCCCCACTTGGAGTAGTTGGTCGGCGGATACGACCATCCAGTGTAGATCACATCGTAGGGCGACGAGGGCGTGAAGTTGAAGAAGTACGGATGCGGATGCGACGACAGCGCCTCGGGCATGAACCCGATCTGCGCGTACGGCTTCACGTTGCGCTCGAGATACGACTCGAAGATCCGGTCGATGATGGTCCAGTTGTAGATCGGATTTCCGTCCGCATCCTCCGTGTAGGCGTTGGTGCTGCCCCATTTCAGCGCCGGAATGCCGTTCCCCGTCGTGAGGAGGTTGTGCGCTCGAAAATACGTCTGAGCTGGCCCCAGCTGACCACCCAATTCCGACAGCAATGCCTGACCTTCCGGGTAGTAGGCGTAATTGGGCTCGTCGGCCCCGAAGAAGCGCGCGATGGGGGTAAATGGGCCCGTTTGATTTCGAGCATTGACTGTGATGGAGACTGGTGCAGCGTGTGCGATGGAGACTGCTAGTGGAAGCAGGAGGAGTCTGCCCAGCTGAGAAGTGCTAGTAGTGGACGGCATCATGATTATGACAACTGTAAATCAATCCGTACTGGCTCAGTCATGGTGAACCGTATATAAAGGGGAGCCATCTTGTTATTAAATAAAAGGACGAAAAAAAAACAGAGCGATCGTCACGCCAATTTCGAAGGATCGGGATATTGCCTTTTCTAGATGCGGGGTGATACTCTCGAATTGGCCAACGCAGTCTATACAATCAATCAATGTTGTGTTTCGACTGCCCAAAATTCAGCATCATCGGAGCTTTCCCCGAGGGTTTTCAAAACCCCGCAGATTCGGATGTGGAGAGAGACAGAGATCGGCATGACTGGAGTAAAATAGTTTATTATTTAGTCTAGAGCTTGAAGTACATTTTCTCCATGAATGCCGCATGCTCATCCAATCAGCATGAACGATGGGACATGATGCGGGATGATGTGGCATTCTGGCATTCATGATATATATAGTATGCCATGACCTTTCACAGGCCAATGAACCAAGTATCCCTAAAGGAACTATCCATTCATCGACAAGATAGATATTTCATCTCATGATTCTCGTGCCATTCGCATAACATAACCTTAGATAACTAATGATATAACAGTACATACATCATGCTCTTTTTTTTTGGGATATCATCTCATAACATATCCATAACGCATCATAACGCCCAAAAAGTAGAGTATCTTATAACTGGCCGTCGAGTCCATCCTCAACTATATACCTCCCATGCTTCTAGAGCATCAGTTCGGCCATGCTATCGCCTAGCTGATCCAGACCATCATACAATGCGGTTGACGGCCGGGGTGGCTCCGCATCGTTCTCATCAAAAATGTCGAGGTATCGTAGCCTCTCCAAAAAGGTCTCTGCTGCGTGCATAAACGTTTCCTTCGCAGCGTCCAGAGACTCAACCTCCGCCTTTATTGCGCCGATCTCAATCTCCTTCGCTTGCTGGCCGCGCAAGATGAAATATCGCCCCTCGTGCCGTGACCAGCTGCTGCACAGCCACGCTTGAAGCTCGCGAGCTGCAAAAGTGCGGGCTTCCTGAAAGTAAGGAGGGTTCCCCGTGTCGCGTCCGTTGAGGGATTGTCCTAAGGTCTCGGAAGGATCATCAATATCCGGGTCTACCGCCATGGACGGTTCAAACAACGTGGAGATAGCAAACATTGTAAATTTTTGGAAAACTTGCAACTGGCCAAGGAGGTCAGCTGGCAGAACCGAGTTTCGGTTCAAATAATCGATCATGGGCAACGCGGAGGTTATCATCTCGAGAAACAACGCCACTGTGACAAGTACTGGTGGCTCCTCAAGAAACCCAGGGTGGTCGACAAGGAGATGCACCGCTCGATGGACAGACTCAAAAATTGCGCTGAAGATGTTTGTCAACGACGAAGTACAACTGGCATCGGTGCCATCCATATCGAAGAGCAAGTTGGTAAAGGTCCGCGAAATGGTTTGAAGAATAGGCCGAGCAAGGATCCAAGCCGCTGCATTACTGAATGCGCATTCGATGTAAGCCGGGAAGACACACTGCATAAGAAACGAGCGCATTGTTGGCCTATTCGGGTTCCCACTCTCGTATGTGTCCGCCATACACGCACAGAGCTGCTCGACGAGATAACTTTGCTGGCCATCCACAGCTGCACGTTCGGAGACACTCTGCAAAAACATGACCAGCTGCTTCGCCACCTTGCCCGCCGAAAGTCTGACGCCATAACTCTTCAACCTGGCCACGATGTATGTTGGGTCGTTTGCCGGAAGTGGGAAGGACGTCGGCTCGGTGAAGAACCTGTCAATGGGGCATATATTCTGCGTGTGCTGTTGCAAAAACCCGACAACACGGTGGACAAAATCAACATAGGCCCCTTGCGCCGAACCGCCAGAGTGACCCAGTTCTTGGTAGTTCGCCTTCATCGATGCCATAAGCGTCATCACTAGTTCTCTGTACTCGTCGCGAATGCTGGCCAAACCCAGACCACCAGAATCTTCAACCTCCTGCAGGTGCTCCCGCATGTTTGATAAAAGACTAGAAATAAGAGACAGTCTCCTTTCGCTAAATTCGCTAAGGGTGACATGATATCGATCATCTCTTCTGTCCCGATAGAAAGGCAAATTTCTGAACAAGGCGGATTCAGAATCCTTATTCAGCAAAGCCTCTGTCAGGCGATGTTGGAACTTAAGCATCGAGGTTCTCTCTACCAAGCACGACATCCACATGCTGAGCACTTGCGCCCTGCATTCAGAGTAGAATTGGCTGTCCTTTTCGATGCAACTCGCCAAGAACTGAGGCGTAAACTTCTTGGTCTGCGCGGTCGCTCGAAGTGCCATCCACGAGTGCGAACCGTACGGGCTGAGGTAGCTCTCCCAATGCTGCAGACGATGCTTAACAAGAATCTGCGCGATGGAAGTCCAGCAGTCGATAGCAGTGAAGAGAATCGCATCTTCAGGGCAGTGATCTTCGCCGAAACAATTCGATATAAGGCGAGAGACAGCAGGCTGAAACACATTCTCCACATGCTGAATCGCTGCACTTGGCTGAGGAGATTCTTGTACATCCTCACACATTGCCTCAATGCCTGTCCAATCGCCATACTCTTGGCTGTCATCATTCACAGCAATGGCGGCAGCTGATGGAGGATCATCCTCATCTTTCCGAATATAGGTCATCACAACTTCGAGAGTCTCCTTTACCGTACCGTTAACTCGAGCCAGCTGCGGATTGAAAAGGCCAAGCAATCTCGTGATGGGCATTCGAGACACAAGCACGCGTGCTTGCTCTAGAGATCGTGCGGCTTCAATGGCGCCTTTCAGCCCTCCAAGAGCAGAACTCAATAAGGACTCGATTTGGCGCTGATTCTGAGCAATGGTCGACTCGACCAGTTTCCGAGAGAACTGAATGTTGCCATGCGCCTGTGACTCCACCTCAGTCCTGGCAAGAGAATGCTGCCTGACCAATTCAGATACAAAATGACTGTGCCAATCGGAGAAGGGCTCTAATCCAGATACGTCCTCGTTAGTCGACAACTTGAACCGCACTAGTCTCATCCATGAGCGTATGCTTAGACTGCAGGTTTCTTGATGCGAGCTAGCAGGGTCAACAAGATTGCGTATCGTTTCGACCCGAGGCCTGCATCCGTCGGGAACAGCCCAGTAAAGCGTGCACAGCAGATCATGGTGGTTTCTCAACGCGTCTAGATCTTCCTGACGAAGCGGTCGGTCTTTGGGATAAACGCGCCCATGGTTTGGTAAGAGGCGCCAGGCAAAATTCCTGATCTTCTTGTTATCGTATATCCCAGTGAGGAATCGGAGGCCACTTCCAATGATTTTTAGTAGGATGTGAAAGCAGGAATCTCCTATCTGAACCTCGAGAGAGGGGTTACTGTCAAGCCTATCGAGGAAAGATGGCGACCCGAAGCACTCTTCGTTCTTCAAATTGTGAAGCGTGTTCTTGGCAAAGAAGTCAAAGAGAGTATCAAGGATGACTTTGCAGTCCCGCCACCCCCAAGAATTTATCAAATGGAAACATCGGTGAAAGATAGTCCGGCAGTAATTATTAAGAGAGGCTGGTGGCGCTGGAGAGTCGGAATCGTAGTAGGCCAGGACCTTCGAGACTAGTCGCTTTACTATCGACCAGTTGCCGTGAGGTCGTTGGAACCGTGACCCAGGCTGACCGATTCCGAAACGATCCAGTTCTTCAAGTGGAAGTGTCGTGAAAATCGCCCGCCAGACGTCTTCCAGGCGTTGGACATCTCTTACAGATGAGATATCATCAGGCAGTAGTGCTGAGGACAAGAGCTCCTCAAACCATCCCTTGAAGGCATCCAAGCTGTGCAATATCTGATATGAAATGACATAAGCCTCAACTGAGGGAAAGTCATCACGTATTCCAGCTTCCCGTCGTTCCTGCAATCTGTTTTCGTCCAGGAAACGGCGGATTTCCGCGAGACCAGGTTGGCTGAAAACGAGTGCAAGCAACTGCTGGGAAACATCCCTTACCACGCTCAAAGATTTCTCCCATTTCGGTCTCCCAACTAGATCATGAGAGGCCACCTGTTGGACTTGGTTGGCGAAGACCAGATTGAAACTAGCGATTCTCAAACAGCGTCTCCAATTGCCCGGCGCAATAGGCACAAATGTAGTGATGTGGTCGTTCAGTTTCGACACCAGATAGATGGACCTATCAACAAAGGCCGTCCTATCAACGGGATCGGTAAAGCAAAGCTTATCAGTCACGTATTTGACAACAGATCGGTAAAGGTTTCCGGCGTGGTCATTAAGTGTCTCCAACACCGTCTCCTGTCCAGCAGGATTGAGTGACTCGGTCTCCTTAGTGAAGCAATCAAACACAACGCCGAGTTCGGAGGACACTGTGTCATTCCATGCGCTCCATCGGAAACTCTGCTCTTCCAGTTGAATGTAACTATGGCCAGCATCTTGATCGAAATCTCTCTTTTGAAGCTCCAAGGAACGTGTAAATTCCCCACTTCCAATGAATGTAGAGTTATGGAAGAAAGTTCCCATGCGAAGAGGCGAAACATTGAAATCCACAGTAAATGACGACTTGCAACCACTCAGTCCTTGTAGAGCCGGTGCTGCAACTTGGAAATCATCAACTGACACCGGCGAGGCAGCACGAGAGTTGTCGAACGTGATGTTCAATGGCTGTTGGTGTTCGGCATTATCTACATCGATCCGCTTCGGCGGGCGTTTCTTCAGACGCTTTCTTGTCACATTTCTCGACGGAGGTAGAGGCGAAGGTCCAGAGTTGGGAGTCGCCACTTTAGCAGGTTCTGGAACAGGTCGCACGGGAGCAGCTGCTGGAGTATCATCGGAAAGAAATCGATCCAGAGTCAAACTAGGCTTGAATTTTGTCGGCAGATTCGTACGTTGGTATGTTCGATTCAATGCCGCTAGCGACTGTCGGAACGACAACGGAGACCTGACACTGTGCGAGCTAACTTCCTCAAACTCGGCAGGTCGTGGAGCGTTCCTCTTCAAAGAAGACACGGCAAAGGCTCGGGGGATAATCCACTTGTCTCCATATCGCTTTGGCTGATTGGGCTTACTGGAATCAATTGTACTTTGCAACCTCTTGACCTGGGTTGACACGGTGGAATGCCCAGCACGCAAATCATTTTCTGAATCAGAGTCCAGATCGTCTATCCATTTTGATCGCGGATCCACACTCGATGCACCAGCATCTCTCCCTTGGGGACCATGTTCGAAATCGACTCGTGCATTGGCAGCAATATCGCTTAAAGGAGGTCGATGAAGTCCCTTGGACGTAGATTCTGGTATTTTCACTTGCTGAATGGCACCCCTTTTCCAATCTTGCAATAGCCTGTTCGTATCTTCTGTGTCATCCCTGGTACTCAGTTTGAAGAATTTACGGTTAGGGCTTTTTCTGCCTCGGTCCCGGCGAGAACGTGCCTGCCTAGCCGCTACTCTGAGGAACAATGGTTGATCCTTGCGAGGACGTTGAGCCACGTCAGGCGCGTCCAATATGCCCAGTTTCGGTGGCTTAGGAGTAGATCGACTTTTTGTTCGCTGTCGGGGCATAGTGTCTGTAATCCTCGTCTGACGCTTTAAGTGGTGTTTCCTCCGGAGAGGCTGAACGTTCATCCTCCCCTGATCAATATTCCGCTGCTTCGTGCGTTGCTTTTTGTTCCCATACGTGATCTTACTGCGGGATGTCGATGGGAACATGTAATCAATTCGGTTGTCCTCTGGAATATCGTCATCTGCCACATCATTGAAAGGATCTTCAAATCCCACCAGTCCTGCGAGAGCTTGACGGGAATCATCCTTATCTGAACGAGCATCTCCTGCATCTGACGGAGAATCTTCTGAATCTGACAAGTCCAACGCGAAATTGGATATGCGTCTGTGGCTAGGGGACACAACAGAACTGTCTTTTGGCCTGGTAATTTTTCTGGCGACGCCCTTTGTAGGCTCCATCGAGTTTGCGGGATGAGCTTCTCTCCGCCTTTGAGAAGACTTCAGGCGCCTCTCTTCCTGTTGCTTCAAATCGAGCCGTAACCACGAAGCCGGAAGAACACCCTTAATTTTCCGCCGCAGCCACTCGACTTCAAGTTCCACATCATCCGTTTCTTCCTGGTCAGCAGGGCCTTGATCATTGTCGGAAACCCTTTCGTCACTGTCCTGTGGCGGATCAACTTCCGACCACTCTTGAAGACTGAGGTCATCAGCATCTTGACCTTTCGATTTCGAATCCGTGACAGGGGTAGTCAGCGCCGGAGGCGTGAAGCCAGGGGGGAAGCGAAACCCATCTGCGTGCGTGGTTGCTGCAGAGGACAAGCTGCCTGAATGCGGGGGAGAGGGAGGGATATCAAAGACTGATCCATGTCGAGAATGTTCAGATGGAGATTTATTCTCAATGACCACTTGCATATTTGAGTTGCTGCGCTGTAAACGACCTCGCTTCTCTCCAGCATGGAAAAGCTTCCGTCGCTTATGAGCATGACCACCATTGTTGCTCATTGCGCCCGTTCGACGAGGGGCTGACTTAGGAGTACGCCGCTGTGACTTGGCCCGAGGGGACGCAAAAGGATCTGATGGTGGTGAAGAAGGAGGAAACTGAAACTCCGCAGGTGGGCTGCTCGAAGGAGGTTCAGGAACGTCGACGAATTCATTTTCTTGACTCTCATCCTGTTTGTGGATGGAACCGTGGTGCAGGTTGGGTATTCGCACTGGTTTGATTCCGCTGGCTCTGAGGAGACTTTGGTAACGAGCGTCTTCGAGGAGATAAGGATGGAGCTGGATGGGGTTCCTCTGCCTCAGCGATCGTCGGGTCGGTTGAGACATCTCCCGCATTATTTCCTCCGGAATCTCCAACGGCGGAACCAATTCTTCAAGCCTATTCTTCTCCGCTTGTTGTTCATTGTTCTTTGTGTCCACCTTCTCGGCCCCTGAATCGCGTAAGGATTCCACTGTGGACGGAGGAGAAGAGAGCGACGACAGACTGTCATCGTCGCTCATTAAATCATGCTGCACGCTTTCCTGTCTTTGCGCTGCAGGAGGAGTTGGTCTCCTCGACGGTTCATGGACGAGCTGGAGTTCGTCCTCGGAGGAACTCGAGGCATCAAGGGTATCGGATAGACGTTTATTCGGTGGTTGACTCTTCTTCGAGAGGGGAGTGCCATTATCATTGAGCTCGGAACTTAACCGTGGATCCTGCTGAGAACGCTTCGAGGCTGAGGAAGATAGAAACAGCTGTTGGCCGTCTCCGGCCTTTTGCTGAACAACTTCGTTCAATTCATCCTCTGAGGCAAGCTCCATCGACTGCGGAAGCGGCTGGTCGTCGCCCTCCGAGGGAGGGTTTCCATCTCCGTTTCCCTGCTCGACATCTTGACTGTTACCAGTCACATTTTCGTAAGATTCTCTCTCATTGAGCGCCCTCTTCGATTCCTGGCTATCAAGCTCATCTTCTTCGTCGGAGTCTGGCACAAAACCTCGATCCCGCCATGATTCCATTTGCATTCCTGGCGCGTATGGCCCATTGCTCTAGAGTGTCATGTCCGGTGTCGACCGCGTGCTGCCCAATTGAAATAACAAGGGCAGTCGCAAATTCGCGGATCTCAAGAGAGGGCGGTTGGGTGTGAAAATCGAACGAAAATGTATTGTACTGTTGTCTAACGCGGTTGACCTAAGCTCCTTGGCCCGACGCGTCGAAACTGTGGGGGAGACGCGCGAGCACTGAGTTAGGTTTAAGTGGCCGGAGCTTAGCCCTCGCGGGACGCCAAAGTCCGGAGCCGTCAAAATGATGAAATTGATCTTGCCCAAAGACGACATTCTCAGCAACATCAATTGTCCTGTGGCAGAAATCTTCTCCCTACAACTCCTCTGGTCACGATGAGTAGCGGATTACGCGGTCTTGCCCCAGCTGCCGTCGCGATCGCAGTGGGCGTTTTCACCGGTGAGTACTGTCTAGCAAGCTTTTGGACCGACAAGATCTGACGCTCCGATACAGGTTACTATACCTTTCAACCGGCATTCAAACAATTAGACGCTGAAAGGAGAACAAAATCCCAGTCAGTTTGCTCCCTTGTCCTTCCTCGCTCTTCGCATCGTTCCTGTCTTGCGCTTCTCTCCCAGCTGTGAGTGAAGCCGTAATATCACATACTGACGTATTGATGGCAATACTCGTAGAGAAGACGCACAACCGTCTACTGAGAACAAGAAGAGCGAATTGCCACCAAACACGAAACCGTATACTTCTGCCTGGAACGCTCCTCCGCCTCTCCCGCCGCCTGTCTCGGCAGAGACACCTGAAGATGCTGCGCAGCCATCTTCTCAGCGCCCATCATGGACGCAGTGGCTCTGGTCGTTTGGCAGGTCATCCGGCACGACGCCAGCATCTGCCGGTGAGGACAGGCATCTAGTCCAGAATGTTGAGAAGAAGAGCAGCGAGGGGCAAAAGAAAGAGCAGCAATAAATCTTACAGAGAGAGACACGTCACGAGTCTACCTCCATCGTCATCGTCAATAGGGATGCTGGGGGTTCTCAAAACAAGTGATTTACCTGGATCACACTCTCCCGGGATTTGATTCCGGGTCTTGAGGGAGTAGTGGAAGACATTCGCTTGAACAACGGTGCAATTGATGTTTGAGGCCCGTGATACGCAACCATCGTTCATGAAACCGGGCCCTCCTACGCCGCACTAACCAAGTCTATTATGAATGGGCTATTTGCATAAGGAGTGTCCTTACCGAATCATCCAAAGCAACACGTATCATGAAGATAAAGCCATGGCGGTATTGCGAAAAGCATGACGAGCCACCTGCTATGTTCATCTGTCAACACTCGTTTGGATCTTTCATGAGAAGACTCGGTCTCTTCTCATATATACTGCACGAAACAACAGGATGTTGCAGGCCACCCACTTACTCGCTCATTCCGTTGTGGCCCAACGGTCTATCCAACTGCTCATGATGTGATGACACGAAGGTTGGCTTACTGCATGTTGCATTAACTGTGTATAAATAGATATAAATGTACAATAAGTGTATACGTAGAGATTTATGAATTGTTGACTATCAATGTCTGTGATTAATGAATAACGAGTTGCATATGAGTACATAGTAACACTCTTAAAAACCATAGAATACAATAATACAATGCATTAAAATACAAGACCCCCTAATTACCTTATCCCTTTTTCTTTTTCGCCCAGTAAGATTTCCGTAAATGAATCGCACACAGAGACTCCGTACCCATAATAACACACAACGCTTGTTTCCTTCCTTTCCATTCCAACAGTCTATGAAAACGGGAACAAACACGAGAGTGTGATTTCCATGAAGCTGTTCTCCGGGGAAATTCACTCAAACTTCCTCGACGAGCTTGCGGTTTCCGTTACTCGGCGCCTCTCCAAACACCCGGGCAGCCGGTGTTCCGACTAACTCTTCGGGGACCGCCACTTTACACGAGTCGCGACTGCTCACCCAGCGGATCATCGTCGGATTTGGCCTCTGCGGCTCCGGAGGAACGTCTGGCGTCGCTTCAGCCGCAGCCTCAGCGGCGGCCGCGCGACCACGCCGTTTGGGAGCCTGCTTTTTCAGCAGTCTGTTGATTGTGTCCATCTATTGTGGAGAAGAGACCGTCAGTCCTATTCTTGCTAAAGGCAAGGAGATCGGATGAGAATATGAATACCTTTTCTTCTTCATTCCGCTTTTCGCTCAGGTTCTTCCTTCGCCGGGCCATCTCCGCACGTCGCATGGCATACTCCTCCGCAGTCAGGTGCTTTTTCACTTGCGGTTCTACAGTCCCGTCAGATGTCTATCAAGAAACACTGCTGTAAGATTTTCCCGGTCGCACTCACCCATTGGTAGCTGCAAGTAATCATCACCCAGCGAACCTCGTTGCCGTTTGGTTAGCCTGCTGAGGTCTGGAGTGCTCCCTCGGCTTCCAGTGGCCGGTGTTGCCTCATCGCTGTCATCGTCATCGTCTTCCTCGTCTTCATCTTCATCTTCTTCAAGCTCCTCATCGTCTTCGCCCCCGCCTTCCCCTGTCTCATCGTCTTGGATGCCGGTTTCATCGGGCTCGCCCTCTGCATCGGAATCCAGCTCGGACAGTTCCTCGTCATCGTCGTCATCTTGCGCGAGCTCCATTTCCTTTTCCTCTACGCCTTTCACAGGCTTTCCCTTTGACGACGTGGCGGATTTGTTCTGTTTCTTGGAGGCTGGCTGAGGAGTATCGTCCATGTCGGCGTCACCATCCGCATCGAGGTTGTCGTCTTCTTCACCCGGGGCATCTTCAGAGTCGCCCACTTCTTCTTCTTCCTCTAAGTCGTCGTCGCTGGTGTTCACCTCGACGAGCTTTTTCTTCGACCTACTGCTGCGAGGACCTGTGACGATGGGGTTCTCAGTGAAAACGTTCACCGACCGTCTGCCGGATGAGGTCGTACCACGACCGCTGCTGTTGGTGACCTCGCGCAACTTGCTCGAGGGCATCTTCACAGTTAAGTGGATGGACCTTTTCGATTCCTCTGAGTTTGCTGAGGACCGTGAGACTGTCACTGACGCAGAAGCTGTGACTCCGCGCGTGAGTCTGCTGGACCTTGACGCCATGTTAGCAGTCTGTTGGGTGGACGCTTTGGCTGTGGCCGCGCGAGAACGGAGAGAACGACTTGAGGCCATGCTGATGGTTGAAAGAAAGGTAACTGCGGGAGACTGAAACGCAAGATGCTGATGGTAGAGACGACAAGCAGGAAGGGAAATCAAGTTTAGATGGCCGCTGCAGCAGAGGCGGCGGGGTCCAGTGTTGGAGTAAATAAGAAAAAGGGAAGAGAGTTGATCGATCGGAAGATCAGGTGGCTTTGACGTTGCGTGGAGGGGCAATCAAACGCATCCCAATGAGGTGGTCCAGGATCGGGAGGAAGGAGGGCCTGACTACAGAGGAGAGGGGGTGTGTGATAGGTATGATATGGTTATGGGATTGGGGATCCAGTCTTTGACATCGACATGGAATCACTAGCAACGCTGCCTTGGCCTCAGTCTTCAGCCCCATCCGCAACCATCGCTGGCGGGCGCACGTAGCAAGTCGAGGCGGCTAGCATTCACCAGTGGTGACTTTTTTAATTACAGGCAGAATAGGAACGAAAGTCCCCGCAAAGCTCAGAGCACATATTGTGTCTTCCACAGCTGCTTTGATCTTTTGCTTCTTTCTTTTTGTTCTGGGCTTTTCTTTCAGGCAGGAACCTATTGGGAACAAAAGAACAAGGTCCTCTGAACGCAGCCAAACTGGGCTGTTGCAGAGATTCAGGCGGCGATGGACAACAAGGGCAGGGCAGGGAACTGGAGCTGAGAGAAGGCAAACACAGAATCACAACGTGGGCGCAGCGTACGTACCTGGAAGACGTGCTGGGAGCGACGGCGTCCGGGATGTCGGGCTGCCAATCGTCGCTGCTGTCGTTGTCGTCTAGGGAGTCGTCGTGGTCGTACGAGGAGGCCGACTCCGACGAGGGCGTTGGCGGTGGCTCAGGCTCCGGGGAGTGGCCCAGCCTGGCCGCCGGCGTGTTGGCGGCGGAGACGCCGCACAGGCCCCGCCATCCAGGCTCCTTATCTAAGCACGACAACTCTCGATAACTAACTAGTTCAGTACAGTAGATTCGGAAAACAGCTTGTAATAACTGCAGGAGTGCATGAAGAGGGGAAGAGTAGAAATATATTCTAGTCAGGTTGGTGATACAGAGGACGCTAGCCTGGGGTGCCCAACGCACTCCCTTAGGGAGACAAAGGTCGCATACGGGGCGCGTCATCCTGGCCTGTCTGGCAGCCAGGATGCTGTCATGGCCTCTTGTCGCTCGACAGCGCATGGATGTACCGGTACCACCGTCCCTGCCTGATTTCGATGCCGGCGCAGGTACCGGTACTTGGTCGATACGTTCCGTCTTGGTAGCAACGGGCCGAGGTTGTTGCTCACGTGTGGAGCACCAGAACATGGCTATCGACTATCGCTCCGCGATCTTATTCCTTTCTCCAGATCTCAATAACACAACAATAATCGAATTTCATATGAACTGAAACTAGCCGAGCAAGCAGGATGGCTGGTCCCGACTCACGAGATCCTGCCATCCCGGAATGGCAGCGCCAGTCCGGCGATCCAGCGGCCTCCCCGGAGCAGTCGAGCTCCGACAATGGCTCGTCCAGAGCAGCTCTCCTCGACCAAGCAGCCAAGTTCCTCCAGGATGAATCGATCCGTGACGCTCCCGCAGATCGCAAGATTGCCTTTCTGGAGTCGAAAGGGCTGCAGAGCGACGAGATTCAGAAGCTCCTCGGCGTCGGTCGCAACCCGGCCGCCACGAACGATGCCAGACCGGAAGCCACAGAAGAGCCCAATTCAAAGCCGTCTGAATCGACGATAGAGTCTCTGTCGCATCAAAAATCTCGAGATATCTTACCTCCATCTCAATCCTCCACCGCGCCTCCTTCCACGACGTCGTCGTCGTCGTCGTCCCGTGATGTCCCTCCTATCATCACCTATCCCGAATTCCTCCTCCAGCCGAGGCAACCGCCTCTGGTGTCACTCCGAAGTGTTCTCTACGCCCTCTACGGCGCTGCAGGTTTGGGTGCGAGTTTCTACGGTGCCAGTGAATTCCTGGTCAAGCCCATGATCAAGAGCCTCACCAGTGCCCGACATGAACTGGCGGAAACGGCACAGCAGAACCTCAAGAAGCTGAACGAGAAACTAGAAAAGAACGTATCCACGATCCCACCGTACCCATCGAGGCATACCAGCTCGAAGACCAGTTCCGACGCCGGTGAGGACTCTACACAGGATGCGGAGTCCATCACGTCGGACCCAACCGAGCTGTTTCACCGTGACATCGCTACCCAGACCACACCAGACCTGGCGCTGGGCGCCAACAGGTCTTCGTATTTTGGTCCAATGGACGAGAACGAAGAAAAGAACGACCCGACGAAAGCGGTCACCGGCCACCTCAAACGGTTGGAGATTCTCACGTCGCACCTGCGCGAATTCGTAGAGGACGAGCAGAAGAGCAAAACCGGCGACGATGCCGTGCGCGACCGGCTCAACGAGCTGCACACGTACCTCGACAGTCTCACCTACCTCAACAACCCTGTCTACAACATCTATGGCGGTGGAGACTACGCCCGCAGCACTGGCAGCAGCGGCCGTGGTGTTCGCCAGGGCGAGGAAGACGCCATTTCCACCTTCAAGGCCGAGATCCGCAGCGTCAAGGGGGCCCTCTTGAGCGCGCGGAATTTCCCCTCGGGACGTACAGCAATTCCCAGCATGAGTCGATAAGAACAGCGATCTTATATCTACGTTATTATTGATATTGTATGTATGTACAGTTTATTCAGGCGTCAATGGAAGTTACTGCAGACCAGGATCTTTACATATTACATATATAACAGGCCTATTCTATCTATTCATCATCATTAATATCCATCCATCCATCCATCCATGTAACTACCTACACAGCTCAGCAGTACATTCATCTGAGGTATTTGCCTAGGTATCTAACGGTCTAACCTCTGGATGGAGGTAATTAATTCCTAACTAGTTCCCTCCTAATCTGTCAGAGATTCCAAAATTCAATGCAATACCAAGATGATAAGATGATAAATAGATAAATATAAATAAATAACACGAATCGGGAAAAAAAAGCACATCGAATCACAACGACACAACAGTAATGGTTAATGGTTAATATAGCTAATGGCTAATGTTAATGTTAATAATAAATAAATAAGTAACTATACTAAGTAGCTAAGATTTCCAACAAAAGACAACACAGTACAACACAGCATCTACACATCTATCCTTTCCATTTCATTTTCATTTTCATTGTTCCTTTAACTTAATTCAAGGGGTTGCTCGGCTCATGCTGATGAGTCGTTTGACGCCAACCTGAGAAGGGAAAAAAAAGGTGTCAACAAAGGTCGTTTCTTTTAAGGACTCTGGGTTGAGAAAAAAAATTGCTGGCACTCACCATCCAGTTACCACACTCATCCGTGCGATTGGTCAGAATGTCCACGTGGATGTTCTTGGCCGTCTCGTAGTCCCGGGCTTGGATGGCCTTGGCCAGCTCGACCATGTCAGTGACCGTGTTGGGCTTCAGCAGGTCCTCGTTGTTGAGGTGGTCGAAGAGGATATTCAATCTCCGCTCCGCATCGTCAACCTGCGCCTTGAAAGACGACGGCGCACGCGCCTTGACTCGCTGCATGTCTGCCGACAGAATCTCATAGATGGGCATCGCGTTCGCGGGGATGTGGGAACGGTCACCGGGTGCTGCACAATATAACAATTAGTCAATCGGGAAAATGACATAGGATAGAAAAAAAGGGTAAACTCACGATTTTTGGGCGGCGCTGGAGCTGGCTTCTTCTGCGATTGCGCCGTACCGGGACGAGAGCCCTGCGACGAGGGAGGGCCCTTGGGTGGACCCTGCTGGGCTGCTGGAGGTGGTGTCGGGGCATACGGGCTGGGACTAGAAGCACTCTGCTCCTGGGACTGTTGCGGCGCGTACGGCTGACCGGCGCCCGCCTGAGGTGGCGGTGCCACAGCAGGGCGGCTTTGAAGCTGAGGCGAGGAGGTAGGGTTAGGCGCATAGCGGTTCGATGGAGGAGGGCCAGCGGGGGGTGCATTGTAAGGGGAAGGCCCGCGCGGGATCGGGGGAGGCACGGCCGTTCCGGGAACGGTGGGAGGAGACTGAGCAGGAGGTGCATATGGATTGGTAGGTGCTGGAGGGTTTGACGAGATCGAGGAAGATCGCGGCGGAGGCCCAACTGAAGGCGGAGATGTGACCCGTGGCGGCGCAGGGCCCTTCGGTGGTGGAGGAGCAGGCGACTTCTGGCCGCCCACGGGAGGAGGACCAGCTGGCGGAGGCGTTGGCCCAGTCGACGGCGGCTGGTTAGGGAAGGGAGAACTGATGACGCCAGCAGTGCTCGGAGTTCCTCTTCGCGAAGAGGACTTGGGGGCCCCGAAGCCTTCAGGCAAGTCATTCCATGCTGGAAGGTTTGTAGCGGTAGTGTAGGTCGTCACAGGGGCCGGAGATTGATTCGTAGCGCGCGGTGGAGGGGGCACGGAAGATCCAGGTGGTGGAGCGCCATAAGACTGCGGAGGAGGACCAACCGGAGGCTTCATCGACTGAGGAGGCTGGTATCCAGCGTTGGGATAGCCACCCGAGGCGAACGAGGCATAGGGGTTCGCGGCTTGAGCGGGCGCTGCAGGCGCAGGTGCAGCTGTGCCCGGAGGAGCGTAAGGATTCTGCGCAGGAGCCGGGCTTCCCAAGAAAGTCGGTTGAGAGGGCTGGTAAATATTGGGTTGCGACAACGGCTGAGCAGCCGTTCTTGCGGCATGCTGCTGAGATGTCTTGGGAGCATCAGCCTTTCTCGTAGCCAGTTTGATCCGATTCCTTGCCACGTCCGCCGCCGGGTGCTTGTCTGGCACCAGACTGAGGTACCGCTCGGCGACATCCAGCCGACCATGCGTGGCAGCGACGTCAGCATATTCCACGTATTTGTCGTACAGGATGCTGAGCTTCCAGTCCGAATCCTTCTGCAGTTCCGTGTCCTGGTAGTTGGTGACCTGGCGGAAAATAGTCACCTTTTCGATGAAGCTCTGCAAGGCGCGGACATGCACCGAGAAGCTAGAGTCCTCGGTGGCTTGATCGATGCCCGCCTTCTCGTGCTCTCGGAGCTCATCGAGCCAGATGCCAACTACTTTCTCCAACTTGGATCCCGCAAGATAACAGAACGAGGCATCTTTGCGAGCAGCCTTCTCGTCACTGCTCCGGAACTGCTCTTCCAAGCGGTCACCGAGAGCTTCACACAGATCCGGGAATTCCTTCTCATCGGCAAACGTGCAGAGGGCCGCCATAACCTCCTTCCAGTTCGCGAGGTCCGCGTTATGCACAACATCCCACAGGTTCTTTCCCACAATGGACGCGAGCAGGCGCAGATAGTTGGGACCCCCGCTCTGCTTGGAGAAGTACGCTTCCTGGACTTTCTCGATGCATTTCTGGCCTCCGCAGATTGCGATCATGAAAGCATCTGACAGTCGATCATCTTGAAGGGCCGCATCGAGAGCCTGTTCAAACCGTCCCAGGAGAAGAGCTCTCGTGATTTTCTTGTCTGCCTCAGACTCAGAACCGGTGTAGATTTGGAACGGATTGTTGGTTCGAGCGCCCTTGGATGCAGCGAGATCAGACAAAAAGCTGTCTGCCTCTGCATTCGTGTCGAATATCGAAGTCAGCCGCTTATGCCTCTTGGGTCCCGTCCCGCGGGATTCAGTTTCAGACACTCCGTTCGTTTCCTCCTTGTTCAGCTCCAGCTTGGCCAGTCCATCGGCTGCTTCGTCGGCTTCATCGGAGAAGCCCAGATATTCTGCGAGACCCTTACGAGGATTCTCAGAAAGCAGGGTCTCAATCACCTTCCAGTCAGCCTTTTCCTCGTCGGTCTGAGCACTGTTGATCCGCGATTCACAGATGCTGCGAAGATCGCCTTCCTTGAGAGCGTTCTCGAAGCTCTCCGTAGCAGTACCGACGGAAGAATCCACCTCAAAGGGAGTGATTCTGACTTTCGAGGAACGCTTCGCACGGTCCGCTAGGCCAACCGAGAGAACTCTGCCTCCAAAACCAAAAGACGCGGAAACCGGCCGCTCCAGCCACTTCGGTGCCTTTGGCAAGGAGAACGTGGCCACTTGAGGCTGTGTCTGTGCCCTGGCAAAGAAGTCTTCGCCATCCAGGGCTTGATTCTGGCCAACCACGTTTTGAGCAGCCTCGGTGCTGATATTCTGGATTGTCTGGATGGAAATCTTGCCATCGAAGGATGCGGTAGCAAAGAAATTGGGGTTCTGGGGGTTCCACCGCGTCTGGAACGTCCAGTTCGTGACAATTGGGAACTCTCCGTAGTTTTCACCCGTCTGGGGATTCCAGCAAATCGTGCGGTTGTCCTTCCCCGAAGAAAGGAGCAGATCGGGATCCTGCGCACACCAAGACAGCGACAGGACACCGGACTCATGGCCTTTGAGAGTCTAGTGAAGGTCAGCGGCAACCACCCAGCAGGCGTTCTCTTCGCAGTGACTTACCCTTTCGGGCGCATTAGAGTTTCGGAGATCCCAGAGGAGAATCACGGGGTCAGACTCGAGCGGTATTGCCGTCATAAGTTTCGTTGGCTATTTCCAGTTAGAATAATTCTCGAATATACATGTTCTCAAAATCTCACCTTATCGGGGTCCCACGCTACGGCGCTAACCGGTTTCCTATTCAGGTTATTCAATGTCAAGCTCTCCTTCTTGGTCTTGACGTCCCACACGGTCACAAAGCCTGCGTTGGTACCGGTGACCAAGATATGCGCCACCTTCTTGTTCCAGTCCAAACACTCGATGTCGTCTGCTCGGGCGGCAGTGTTTCCGAGACGGATTGGGTTGGCAGTGTTGTTCAGATCAGTTAGAAAGAGCTAGAATACTTCATTAGCAAGCCCGTCAGCCTCCCCAAGTACTAGGAGTGATCAACACACCTCTCCCTTCGCGCCTCCGGTGGCGAGGAGATTCGGATGTCGGGGGTTGAACTGGAGAGCTTTGATAGCACCGGAGTGCTTCGATATTCGCGATATCAAGGGGTCACTTTCAATTATCAGCAAACAAATACACAGTAATCGCCAAAAGTTACGGACCTTGCTCCATTAATGAGTTTGTCGGCGTCCCAGAGATCCAGAGAGCCATTTTCCAGAGCACCAGCGATGACCCCTCGGTTGTTCTCGTCGTATTCAGCCCAGGCGATGTCGTTGAACCTGCCAGTCTCACTCATCAGACAACTGCCACCATCATGCTACAAGGATTCTTGACATATATCTCCGCATACCCCGAATCAGTGGGAACCTTGGCAATAGGCTGCAGCTCCGCGCCCTGCCCTTGGCTATCCAATCCCAGATCCCACAGCTCGAGATTGGTCTCATTTGAGAAGTCGAAATCCACAGCACCAGCACGCGTTCCGGTAGCGATCAGGGGCGCGGCCGTCCCGGGCGACCAGGCGAAAGTGGCCGTCCGGGGAATTTCCCTAAGACGCACCATGGCGACGGCGGAGGTAGGGAGGACAGAGAAGGAAGCGCGAGGGATCAATGCCAGAGTAAACAATGGTTCATCCGAAATAGAACAACAAATCCAAGGGGCTGATTCGCGTAATTGACAGCCCCTAGAGAGGGCCACGAAGCTAGAACGAAGCTTGGGGGGATCGTGCAGTAAAAAGCAGAGCAGCAGCAACACCGCCTGGATGTCTCCAAGTGGCCTTCTGGCTGCTGCGATCTTGGCCAAGCCAAGTTGGGCCGTCCGGGGGGATCCCGCCCTAAGGCACTAAGGCTCGGCAAAACATGCGCCTCCTGGCCTGCACGTGATATCGACTTTGGACCGTTAAGGCACAGGCCGAGCGCCACGGCCAGCGAGAACTATTAATTAGATTCACGACTGAACGCCTGCGGACGCGCAACGATACGCGCATCTTCATACTGTCGCTGAGCGTCGAGCTCGTCGCGGAAAAGGAATTGGCTGGTCAGCTCGATTTGCGCCCTTCAGCACCATGACCGAAGCAGCCCGCCTCAAAAGCACCATCTACGTGGGCGGCCTCGACCAAGCCGTCACGGAGCAGACGCTGATGGAGGCCTTTATCCCGTTTGGAGAGATCGTTGACATCACTCTCCCGAAGCCCGAACTACCTTCGTCGACGGACAACCATCGGGGTTTCGGATATGTCGAATTCGAACTTCCTCAAGATGCGAAGGAAGCCATCGACAACATGGACCAGAGCGAGCTCTACGGGCGAATAATCAAGGTTGCGGCTGCCAAGCCGCAGAAGGATAGCAACGAAGGGTTGGGAAGCAAGACGGCAATATGGGAGCAGGTGAGTGCAGAGCATTCCAAAGCTCTGAGAGGCAAAGCAGTCTGCTTACTACGAATGACACACATACAGGAAGGCTACTTGGCCAAATACGCTGTTAGCGAAGAGGATAGAAGAGCTGCTGAGGAAGCTAGAAGGGCGGCGAATAATCAACGCGAGGATCCCATGCAGGGATTGGAAGAGTTGGATGTGGCAGGACCTAAGCCGGAGTAAACCGACGCCAGGAACCAACGAAAATTCTAAAAAGCACAGCGATATATGGAATATTGCTACATTGCTTCTTCAAGACATTCTCGATTGAGACCCCGGTTATATACATACACAAGACATGAAGGCGAATCCGAAGCTTTCAAATCCTGCAGGGCTTGTCTCTACCGATCAGACTACCGCATGCCGCACTTGTCTCCCGACACGGATTTTCCTCGCGCCTCCACAGACGATGAGAGCAGCCCTTAATGACGGTCTTCAGGCCTGTTGCGGGACAGACGGAGGGTCTTGTCGGTGAACAGCTTCTTGGTGCTGGAATAGATACCGGCGCTCACGGCAACGCTGAGAATCGGGTTAGGCCAGGTCAAATGGAATGGGCTTTTCAACGGGGTAGCCCGGTTGATCTGCTCTTGCAGAAGACTTACCAAAGCACAACACCTATTGTAGATAGCTGTTAGAAAAAAAATAAAGCCTTAAGCGACAACAGCAATGGGTAATGTGAAGGGCTTACCCAGGGGGATCAACTCTGGAGGAATCTTCTTCAGCTGTCGTAGACGTTGCGAAATGGTGTGAGCTAGCAAAGACCGTCAGTCCAGTTCTGAATCCATAATAGCAGTATTCTGATCACGGGCGCGTTCATACCGCGCATGGGCTCCTTCTGTAGAAGCTATGTCAGTGACAATGGGCATCGAGACAGAATTCGTCACAGCGCCGGGAGGCGACTTACAGGAGCCGCGTTCAGCAAGGGCCGCGAGGCCTGCATTCCGAGAACGCGAGTGGGCAGCATGGTCAATTGAGCCGATCGTCGTAAGCGTCGGGGGTGGCAGAAGCTCGAGGAAGCAGGGGACGAGGTGGTGACGTGAAGCTTTCGCAGTGGAAGAAGTGGGAGGACTGGATGTCGTCAGGCGGTCCTCGGGAGTGCAAGGAATCTCTGCGCCACGAGTGGCTGCCGGGCTCTCGCTAGGCCGTTCCCGGGTGTGCAGCTCCGCTGGCCATTCCACCCAAACCTCGTACGTCTGTCCATCCTTTCTTCCGCCCGCTTCTCTTCCAACTCACTGTTTGCCACATCACCCCACGTCTGCCGTCCACCCTCAATTGCTGCTCAATTGCACTGTACAGACTTCGTGAGCCAAGATGGGTGCCATTCCTGAAGCCGACCCCGATGAGCCTTTGGAGACCAAGCCCTTCAAGTTCGTGACAGGTGAGCTCACCCACTGCAAGCTGGCTGCTCGTCCATGACGGCGCGTCCAAGTCTACCTAGCTTCCAATTGCTAACTGGTTGACAGCTGGTACGTATGAGAGAGGTTTCGCTGCATCCGCCGCGTCCAATTGCCCATGCCCGGTTGTCTGTGGTTCCTATGGACAGGGCTGATCCTTCGTTAACGAACAGGCTACGACGCCCGCTTCCCGAACCAGAACCAGTACGCAGCCATTGGCGATGCTTGATTGAGGCGATTCCTTGCTGATTGATGTACAGGACCAAGCACTGCTGGCAGAACTACGTCGACTACCACAAGTGCATCCTCGCCAAGGGCGAGGACTTCCGCCCATGCCGTCAGGTGTGTCACGCTCACAGATGATGCATTCCATGCCTGGATAGCAATTGAAGCTAACTGGACTGCTATCTAGTTCTTCCTGGCTTACCGTTCTCTGTGCCCCAAGTCCTGGACCGACCGATGGGATGACCAGCGGGGTGAGTAGCAGTCTATGAGTATTTCCAATAGAAATTGTCTGACCAGCTATCAGCGGCCGGCAACTTCCCTGCTCGTCTGGAGCCGTAAACGAAGAAGCAATCGTCAATCGGTTACCAGGCTCTCCACGACCCAATCTGTATTTTAGCTGACAGAGCGAAGGACGGTCTTTCCGTGCCTATGTTAGGGTTTTGGAGGATAGCGAGGGAATGTTGTACATAAGTCACGTCACTTGCAGGCACTAGAGAATACCATGTCTTGATTATTGGTCTGGATAGGAGCATTTCACGAGTAGCAACCGGAATATAAGACTTGTAGCGATGACAGATCCATACACGAGCGTCCATAAGAGTGGTGTGTCGTTAGAAATTCATCAATAGACCATCAATAAGTTGTAGGCCATTGTTTTTCGTTGACAAGAAGTCTCCAGGCTGTCTCGACTAGACTTGAAAGAAAGGTGGACAAATTAATCATGTCGCAGGACATCCTGGGTTCTCTTTTCCTTCTCTCCTGCCACCATCTCCTGCAGGCATCACATGAGATGAGGATAAGGATGTTATCTTCATTGTGCTTGTTCTGTTATTATGGTCAGAGCAGCTTTTTTTTGTCCTCCTCTTTTACAAAAAACAAAAAAAAAGAAAGAAAGAAAAAAATACAGAGCAGACGCGGAGAACGGGAACGGGAATTCATAGCTAGACAGACACGACTCGGAAAGAAATCCTAATATTAGGTACTCTAGCCGGATCCCTGACCATATAACTAAATTATCACCCTATAAAATTGATGTGTTGTGATGAGAGTCATGAAGATTGATCAGATGCGTTGCTCCATTTGTCCATGTCACGTGAGAGTAGTGAAGTACAGTACATAGGTAGTGAACGCTGCATAAGTTGCATTGTCAATGCTCTTTGAGCCCTCAGCCGGCAGCAACATGGCGTAGGGATAATAATAATAAAGTTGAAGCTTGGATCCTTCGTATCGATAGATAGATTGATAGATTGATAAGTGGGCTGATTCGGGATCTTGATGCTCCGCTGCTGAGCACCGTCCTGACTCCAGATGGTGTGAGGGGCTTTCTTTAGTTAGGATAATGTACTCCGTGCTCCGCACAGGGTATATGTATATACGGAGTACTGATCAAGTGTTAGCTCGTGAGGGAGATTTCCACCGAGGTTGAATCATTATTACTCCGTACTCCGTACTCCAGAGAGCTGGGTCGCTAGCTAGCAGGTAGCCAGCACCAGTCGTTGAATCGCTGTACTTCGTATAGGTAGGTGCCTATGGATGTGCATTTTCACATGCGTCCAAGCCAACGTGGTCTGATTTTCCAAAAGATTTCTCCGTAGTCCGTACCGAGGAGTTGGGGCTGACAGCCTGACTAGCACTACGAGGTACTCGTGTACTCCTACGGAATATACGGGGTATACGGGGTATTATATTTATCCACCAGGTGGTTGATGATCTGCAGAAAATCATTCTCACGCGACTCTGCAGATGAGTCTGACTGTACAAGCCGGTTCCGGCTCCGGCAGTTGAAACAGAAAGGGGAAAATACTCCGTACTTGGATTACTTTCCTAGGTAGTAGTGTATGTAGTTAGGTAGGTAGTTAATAATTCAGGTTATTATTAGGGGTGCATTGAAATTTTCGATTTCATTTTTTTTCGACTTTTTTTTTACTTCTTCATGAAAATTTTGTAAGATAAAAGAAATGAATTATGGAAAAAGAAAAGCTATAGCCCTTCCAAGTTTGTTGTTGTTGTACTGATGTACTGTACACAGTTGTAGAAGAGGGTCAAAAATGTATTTTGAATAAAACACTCAAAGGTCCCGAGAATCATAATTAATTGGTTAGTCAGTGCCAGAAACGAGTTTGTAAGTAGATGAAATCTCAGTTTCTTCTTTTTTCTTTTTTTTTAAAAAAAAACCGTTACAGTACGCAGTACATATGTCTGTACTGTATACACATACCTTTTACCCGAATGTATCCACTCAAGATCGCTTGCTCACCTCCACGCCAGCTGTCAATCCTTGCCCTTACTGCTAAGCGAACCTGCTAGTCGTGTTTGTTAGTTCTGCTAACGCTGCCAACCTGGTCAACCTGGTCTGGTCGTTTCGGAGCTTTTTATCTTTGACTTGCATGCCTGGTTAGGAACGTGACTAGTCCTATACTCCGTATTCGGATTATTAGGGTTTGGGATGCCGTGAAATTATTTACATTTCATCGGGAAAGAAAAGCAAACGTGCCGTCTTTTGAAATTTGGGACCGACTCGACTTTAATAGCGCTTTTGCTAGGTCAGTAAGATCTAAGAAGAATGCTTGTAACTCAATCTGTTTGGCTAGGGTGGGCCAAGAATCTTTCAACTTCTGCACGCCAGGACTATGAAGTCTTAGCTCTTCAGGGCAATGGCCAATCGAACTTCATGCTTCGATCTTTTTTTAAGAAACTTCGGCCATCCCTGCATATCATAGGTACTATAATGATGAATTATTATTGTTCTAAAGAGAAGGTTGACATGTCAGTCAGGAAAAGTGAAGAAGTGGGGATGGATGCCTCCGAGGTTCGTAATCGACATCGACATCTTGACGTATATATGGAGCCGTCGGGTCGCCATCGTGCATGAGGAGATGGATTGGATTTAGCTACAGGGCATTAATATTAGGTATTACATCATTAATCAACCTTTTTCCTGTTCCTGGTCCTTTCTTTTCTCAATTCCTGGTTGAGTCTTCTCACTGCAGGGACATCAAATTACCCCTATTATTTTATATATATATATATATAATATGGGCTTTTTGCTCGGGCCAAAGACGGCCCTTTTCCTAGCAGTATCTGCTGCCCTTAGTTCTCTGACAGTAGCAGATCTCTGCTCGACCCTGCAAAACGCCGGCATCAAGGTGGAGTGGCCGCTCGCCCTGGACTATGACGCTGACTTGCTCCATTACTGGTCTGCGGCCTGCTCAGACCTGAAGCCGAGGTGCATGCTCAGCCCGTCCAGCGCACAGGAGGTCGCCGACATCATCGTCGCCTTGCAGAACACCACCGATCTGTTCGCTGTCAAGTCGGGCGGGCATATGCCCAACCAGGGGTTCGCCAGTATCCAGGACGGCCTGCTCATCTTGACCAAGAACCTCAACGATGTGATCTACGATCCCAAGACGCAGACCGCCGTCGTGGGCCCTGGCCTGTCTTGGGAAGAGGCTCAAGATAAGCTCGACGGCACGGGCCGAGCCCTCGTGGGCGGGCGATTGGGCGGAGTCGGTGTTGGAGGCTATCTTCTTGGAGGTACATACATACGCGCCTCTTTCAGATGATCGGTCAATCTTTGCTGACGATATATATATAGGTGGATTAAGCTTTCTCAGCTCGCAGTACGGCTGGGCGGCGAATAATGTCGTCAACTACGAGGTGGTTCTTGCCAATGGGACCATCGTCAACGCCAATGCAAAGGAGAACTCGGGTATATCACCTCGACTTCCGCTCGCCATCTCCCCTTGCTGACCGAGTCAGATCTGTTTGCCGCTCTGAAAGGGGGCGGGAATAACTTTGGTATCGTGACCGCTTACACGTTGCAAACCCAACCGCTGGATCACAAGGTGTGTTGATCGGAGTCGGACATGCATATATATATATCTATATACCATCCAGCTGACTCGTGTCAGATCTGGGGCGGCAATTACGTTTTCACAGCAACAGAGAGCACGACGTCGAAGATCCTCGCAGCGCTTCGGGACTTCACCGAGCACTATCCTGATGAAAAGGCAGGGATCATCGTCACGACAGAGCATACGGCCCTTCTCAACCTTTGGATTATTTTCCTGTTCTACGACGGCCCTAGTCCTCCCCCGGGCGTATTCGACTCGTTCAAAGCGATTGGACCGGATCTGGACACGACCAAGACATGGGACAAATACACTGATCTGGTTTGTCTGTCTCTTGAAGATCCTTTCAGATGACTGTGCTAACTCGAATAACTACAGCTCAAATATAATGATATATATATCCTGCAGTAAGCCACTCTCTCCACTGCTGCTACTGCTGCTGCTGCTGCTGCTGCTGCTGCTGCTGCTGCTGCTCGCATACTAACATGATGAAGCGGCCAACGATACACCATCGCAACTGAAACGACGCCTCTTCCGAACAAGACAGTCGGCGCAGAGGTCATGCAGTCCTACTACGACCACTGGTTCAACGTCACCAACACGGTGCTCACCGTGCCGAACGTCATCGGCTCATTCGCGTTCCAGCCTATGCCACGTAACATAACCAGCAAAGCGAAGAGCTTGGGAGGTGTAAGCCACCACCTACCGTACCAGTAGATTCGTTCTACACTACCAAGAATACACAACATGCTGAAACTATTTTTACTTCTACAACAGGACCTGCTCGACTTCCCCACAGACCAGGACTACATCCTCTTCGAATTCGACTTCTCGTATGCCTTCGCCGCAGACGACGAGACCATCGACGCCGCGACGCAGAACGTCTACGCGGGCATGGACGCCCTCGTCCAGGACCACATTGCGCGGGGGCTGCTCCCGGACGTGTACCGGCCGCTGTTCATGAACGATGCATACTTCCGGCAGGACTACTGGGGGCGGATCCGCACCAAGGAGCAGGCGCTGCAGACGAGGCTGAAGTATGACCCGGAGGGGTTCTTCCAGAAACGGACGAGTGGGGGGTTCCGGCTGTCTTGATCAAGAGAACTGTTGATTCGGTTGGTAGGTAGGTTGGCTGCCTCCCTGCCTACTTTTATTTATTTATTTACCAGTGTTAGGGCAAAGTCGAGTCGAGTTGGATTGGATAGGATTGGTCTGATTGATTGAATACCTCAACCAAGCTGTATGTCCATATGTTCCAGATTCTGACCCTTCGGAAACTCATTTGAAACAATACCTGTACATGTCTAGTACTAGTATAAATCATACTTAATAATGCCTAATCACATTTGACGATTTGATCAGATCTAAATCATCTCAGTTCATCTGGGTTGTAAATGCGGACTGAGCTGAATTGGACCAACTAATAAACTGAGTGTATTTCAAGGATTTCAATTGGTAATAACGTAAGTAAATAATTGCCAACTCTATCTATGGTATACCATTCACTCAATTTAATTGCACAAGTAACAAAGTTTGTTTATTGGAAGTCTATATCTATTCTACATCAATCGGATATTATCTAGATCAATTAAATCGACCGATAATTCAGATGCGTTAAAAAAAAAGAAGAAAGGAGAAAGGAGCCTGAAGGAGACGGATGGAGAAAAAAAAATGGCAAGGCAGGTTCGGGCCATTGGGTATTGGCATAGGTATATCCCTACCTAGATTAGGAAGGATGCTGTCAAGTGTTACTGCTGTGTGCCAGTCAGTCAGTCAGCTGAAATAATAATAACGTGCGATGTGTGATGGTAAGTGGAGGAGCCATGATGATAAAGAGATCCTCGCGGCCAAAAAAAAATGAAAAAAAAATTTGGAAGAAATGCTGCCAGCCTGTCCTGTCCTGTACCGAAAACAAAACAAACATCACTGATAGATACCCAACCTGTCTACCTATCTATATCGCATCATCGCAAGATTAGCCCGCCTATATGTTGCCGGCCTGCACTGTACAGATGGAAGATGTATTTTCAGATTTACAACCCCTTGATCAGGCGGTAGATCTTCTTGTGTTCTTCCAAGAACAGGAAGGTCGCAATCGTATGCGGACCCAGCCGGATGAAGCTGGGCACCCAGCCTCGGAACACCCAGGTGACGCCCTCTTTGCGGTAGATGTCGCGCAGCAGCGACATGAGGCCGTCGTGGCTCTCGGCCGGCGAGGCGCTCATGACGCGCGTCTTGATCACGTCCACGGGACTGCACACCGTCGTCGCCACGAAGCCCGCCAGGAACGACGCCGTGAAATGCGTCGTCAGGTTGTCCGACATGCCGACCACGTCGATGCAGAACCGCTTGAAGGTGTCGTAGGACGCCAGCTGCGAGGCCGTCATCAGCACCGCGCGGGTGGAATTGGGCCACACGCCTCGAAACAGACTCCCGGGCCCCTCTTCACGAACCATCCGCGCCAGCCCGTGAAACGCATTCTTGTAGTTCCGCCTCTTCTCCGGAGGGAGCGCGGCGTCAGACTGCATGCGGACGTTCATCACATCGGCCGGGTTCCCGGCCAGACCACCGAGGAAACCGGAGAAGCAGGCCATGCCAATGAGGGTGGGGAGACCGGGAGGGGACGACGAAGAGGCGAAATACGACTTGAGCTCCTCGTACACGCCGAACCGGGTCGTCGAATAGGTCATTTGCCGGAGGATCGACGCGGAGAGCTAGACTCCGTTAGAACCCAGTTCAACTCAATTCAATCCTGCAATTGTTCAAAACATACCCCGCTGTACAAACCAAGGAAGCCATCATTCTTGAAGACATGAACGAACGTGCCCAGCATGGTCTTGGGAGCTCCGGGGGCGCGAGTTTGCAAGCGGACCTATTCCGCGCGGGTCGTCTATCAGTGGTCACGCGTGAAAAATCATCATGCAAGATCGCAGTAAATTTTACCTTGACTAGAGAACAATGCTGTCAGCACTCCATCTTCTCGCACATACCAAGGCCCTCACCAACTTACCAAGGTCCAATGGGTGCGTGACCCCGGCGGCAAAGCATGACGCCGATCCGCCGAACCAGAACGGATAATGGATCTTCTTGGCCGCTGAGGCTGGCCGTTGCGCAGGCGCCTCCTCCGTCTTCACATTGCCTGCTGCTGCTGCCATTGTGCTGCCCGGCAAGCAGAACGCATTCCGGGAGAAAGAAAAAAGAGGGGAGAGGAGAGGAGAGGAGAGGGGTGAGAAGGGAGGGCTTTCTTGTCTAAGCTGAGCTGACAGAGACAATAATTTAACGGATGGAGCGGTTTCGGACTTTTCAGCGGACCAAACGGCGCGCCGCATTAATAAGGCAGCTGAGGATTTCGGGCCGCGTTGGCCCGAGTTCGGGACCCACGGCGCGCGCCGATAAACCGATCGGTGGATCGGTCGCGATAGAGCCCAGACAGTCAACTGTTGTCAACATAGATACGTGTAGATAGTGTCAATCTTACAGTCCATTAGATGTTATGCGAGTCCTGTCTAGTAGGGAGGGGATGGCAGGTGCGTTAGCTTACTGTAAATATCCGACAATTGAGACTCACTCCTATCTGGGTCCTTATCAAAAAAGAGCTTCAGTATAGCTAATAACATGCGAATAACGTCAAGACGCATCATTTTATTGCATGCAAAAGGAGACAATCTATTTAGTATATATGCTCAGTTCTTCTGTCGAGGACTTTGTATGAAGGAACTGACGAGGGAGATAAAGAAAAAAATTCATACTTTCCCAAAAAGGAAATATCAACAACCTCCCAACTCTCCCCATCCAGCATATAAAAAAGCTCACACCAGGGGTCCTCCCTCCCGGGACCCGCTGGTGCTACGAAAACCCCCGCCTATGCTTTTGGCGGGCAGGGATTTTACTAGACCAAGTTTTTTTTTTTGAAATTGGTTCATGGAACCAGAGGGATTCGAACGAACGCAGGCCGTTCATCTGGATGTTAGGAGTATAAGAGACTTAGGCTACTTAACCACTGCACCATCGCAGCCCGAGTTTGTTGACAGGTAGAGAGATAAAGTGGAAATTATATGTCCTGGGCAGTTGGGGCGGTCAGGCAGGTAGGTCTTAGTCAGGTAAGGGAGGAGGGGGGGGGGGGGGGAGCCTCAGGCTAGCACGCAAGTCCCATATAATCTCATTGTCGTTGCAGAGATTCTGTCAACAGGCTTGTCAAATTCATCGTCCAGCTCATTCCATGCAAGTTCTGGCAGAATAGATTCAATTGGAATCCTCCATTACGATGATCTATGGACAGCTCGAGGCTGTGATATAGCTGACTATTGCTGCTCATTTGAACTGTGCCTGGTATAAGACTGGTCTATACCATTCCTCTGCCTTGACTACTATTCCTATGGAGTAGTGATAGACACGAAAGGAGAGAATCATTACAGATATTGTTACAAGGCGATCTAATTTACATCTGGAGTCATATCTTGTACAAATGCTAGTATATACAGCTTAGATCTCTATCTATCACCGCAACTCAACACCCGTCTTCTCAACCAACTTCTCTCGCACTTTCTCATGCAATTCGTTGACCTCCTTGTTCGTCAGCGTCCGTTCCAGGCTCCGGTAGTTGATGCGGTAGCACAGACTCTTCCGGCCCGTCTTGGGATGCGTAAACTCGTCCACCAGTTTGACATCCTCGACAAGGTCGCCGGCGACATCCCGAACAATCTCCATGATATCGTTCTCGTGGAAAGGCACCACGCCGCCTGCGGCGCTGCCTCCACTCGAAGTGGCTGACCGGAGCCAGAATGCCACGTCCTTGTAGCAAGCTGGGTGTTTGGAGAACGGCTCGAACCGAGTGATCTTCCCGGCGGTGAATTGAGAAAGGAAACGCTCGTCGCGGGACCAGAAAAGACGGATGTCTGGAATATTGAAGAGCAGCATCGCGATACGCTCGAGCCCCACGCCGAAAGCCCATCCGATCCGATCGGGCACGTCGGAATTGATGAGCAGATCCTGCTTGATGATCCCGCACCCTAGGATCTCGAGCCAGTCACCCTGCCAGAACACCTCCAGCTCCCACGAAGGGCTGGTAAAGGGGAAGTAAGCTTCAACCCAGCGGACCTTGAGAGGTTCTTGCCCTGCATCAGAACCCTTGGCGGCTTTGGCAGCCTCTGAGAAAATCTTCACCACCATCCGTTCCAGAGAGCGTTTGAGATGTGCAGCGACGGCCTCGACTTCCTCAGCGCTGTGATGATCTGCCTGGAGAGGATTCCGCTCGGGGTGAATGGTCGGGTTGGGATCTTCAACCACGACATCGTGAGAGGGGATCTTCTCCACATCTTTCCAGATCATGGAGGCAGTTTCCGCAGCATGCTTCAAGGGATCAACTCTGGGACGTTTCCACAGCCTGGCGCCTTCCATCTGGTGGAAAACGGGGTAGTGACTGCGATCGATGGAATCACGGCGATAAACATCGGCCGTCACCGTATACCCTTCCTCTTCGGGGCGTATCTTCTCGTTACTGTTTATGCGCCGGAAGTACGCAGACTGGTGCGCACTCGTATGCGTTCTCAGAAGAGTCTTTTCATTGATGTAGTAGGTATCGGTGCGACTGCGACCCGGGTGGTCTGGGGGGAAGCCAAGGACATCGAAATTCTGCTCTGTAGTAACGATGGGGTCTTCCTCCACATAATTGCCGAAGACAGGACCGGGGAACTGGCTTTCGATCAATTTTCGAGTGATGGCCAGAGGATGGTTCTCGTCGAGGTATAAGCGACGGCTAACGTGAGAGAGGATGGTATCCGGCGTGTTCATCCATTCATCGGTTGCGTAAGGCCTTCCCTCGACGATGATTTGATTTCCTGGGCGTGTCGAGAAACGTCGAGGACTTCCAGCCGTCGTTCTGGGGGACTCAATTTTTTCTTTTTGTGTCTGCGAAGCTGGCGACGAGCTCGAGAATCTCAGGCCGACTGCGGCGTGCGGTTGCTGCTGGCGCAACAGCGGAAGGCCTCTCCTCCCGCGTGCAGAAGGGCCAATTGACCATCGGCCACTGCCAGCACGTAAGGCCCTGCCAGTAGCAATTAACCGCATGTTCCCGGGCCTTGTATTCTGTGCAGATGCTGGGTGCGTGGTGGGCTGACAGCTCCGCGGCGTGGAAATGTTCCGGCGTTTATTCAATACTCCGTAGTAGTTCTCGGTGCGGGTAAACTCGGTGCCGAGCAGTAACCAAACAAGACATCCATGTTCTACATCTATTTCAACGAGCGAGCACAAGGCGACTTCCGTCATATCCGGTCTGTTGATCATGATTGACTATCCATCCCATGCCGGTCCATTAATTTAGGCTCTCGATAGAACAATGATTAAAAGCAGAATCACATACCCCGCAACCCCAGGTTCACAAATGATGTTATGACAACCCTACCATTCGAGAGGCCGTCGATATTCGAAGGAGAAATACGAGAAGAGGCACATTTTTCCATATACGAGCCTATTTATCGTGATTAGAAAATAGAGGCTCGTCGGCCTGAGTGCTTGCTGCCACTGTTATAGAGAAGATGTCTGGTAATTGAAAACTTTCCAAGAAATTTGGGATAACTGCATCTGAAGATATTAAGAAAGCTAGATGTCTCTGCATATAACAAAGATCATTATGCAGATTCAACGAAATTTCGGAAATCTACAACAATCCACAGCTTTTTGAACTACATAGCAGGCGTCGAACAAAGAGATGGCGGTGGACCATAACCGTACAGCATTCCTTGGAGGTCACACAGTTCTCCCGTTTGGCTCCTCATGTACTAGGCTTACAGGTATCTGCCTTAAGCGGACTCGTTCGGTCGTGGAATAGCTCCCAACGGGAAGCGAACAAAAGTTGTATCCGGGATCATCAGCCCTGAACCACCGGCATAGAAGGCAATGGAGGCACAGATGACCGTGAAGGCACCGCCGGCCTTGTTCACTCTCAGACTCGCGACCGGGTGCTCCGTAGCGATGAAATTGGCGATCGACAGAAACAAAAAGGCCAAGACGAGGAAGAAAAACACGAGGACGATGGTGTAATTGGTCCTCAGGGCGGCAACCAGGAACATGAAGCTCAGGAAACACCATGTGATCAGATAGATCCCGAGGGCAAAAGTAAATGCCCTCTGGTCTCCTTGGTATGCGTTCTGGATGCCAAGTGAAGGGATCAGGAACATGGCATAGCTGAGCCAAAAGGCGCCATAAGAGCAATGCACAGTCGTCCCAAATGTGTTTCCCACTCGGAACTCCATGATGCCTGCGACAAATTGCGCTGTGCCGCCCATGAAGATGGCCAGTCCGAAGACGGCCTGGTCGGGACCGACCTTCCCTTGGGGATTCGAATGAGGCAATCTGGTTTCAGATAGTCAGTTGATGGGAAGTGATTCGGTCAAATCGATTCTTCCTTACCCGGCTCCGCATTGATAGAGACCGAGAACAAACGTCGTGACGGCGAACCCTAAGAGACCCAAAGGACCCGGGTTCGCGAGCTTCTGATAGGGAGGAAAGGGAACCTGAGACACCGTGTAGGTCTGATGAGATGCTCGTCCGTCTGGGATGTTTCGACCGTTGCCCTCGCCCAGTTTCTCTTCTGCTGGTGGGGAGACGGGCCGCTCTTCAGTGCCAGCCATGATTTCCAGTGGATAACAGCAAATAGGGGGTCTTGATACCGAAATGGAGGGTGACTTCAAAGTTGAGCGTGTCTGATTACGGACCGGAAAGGCCTTGTCAGCACAAGCGATAAGATGATTGAATTTCAACTAGACCTAGAAGTTCTAGTATAACATCAAGAAACAGTCATGATTAGGAAAGACCAGGAAGATGAGAAAAAACAAGCCGATTTTATACCCCAAACCCCAGGGTGGCCGATCAGCACCCATCACCTTCCTTTGTCTCGGGTATTTGCTTGTTTTCACATGTGAGATCACCTACCGCCTAAGACTCCTAGGCTCTGACAGGCGGTATGGTCTTTTATATCGTTTCCTCCATGTCTGTCCTCCTTGCCCCGGGCTCAAATGAGATCAACGCAGCCAGGAACTGTGTTACCCCGCTGCGTCGCCAGGTATTTTCGAACTGCTGATCATGTTGATCACCCCGCAGCCATCGGTCCAAGGGAAGCCCACGGGACCAATTGATCGATGATTGAAAACGAATCGCTGGGACCAAGAACGAGCTTTTTAGCAAAAGCGGATAGAACGGGTCTGCCGGTTATGACGGGTAGTATGTATGAGGTACATAGCTCATGTACACCATTTCCAACAAGGGGACTTCTTGAGCTTATTCAGCTAGGTATGATGGAGGAGGCGCTTCACAACGAAATTAATAACTGAATGCAGCATTTAAACTGGGAGGAATGTTTGATTGTATGAACTATCCAGTGGAAAGACGGGACATGGTGTAACAGGGACAAAGGAGGCACATGGACCTAAGCCTCATCAAGAAGCAGGGTAGTAATGGATTGGAACAACACAAGACATCTGTAGAATAGAAATGGTTTTCTTAGGTATCATATTGCTGTCTTAGGGTACACAAGCTTTCAAGGTCTCACTAGCAATATCCCTTTCCTATTATTTACAGAGGCACGTGACAATATACAAAAACGGCAATTAATGTTTTTATAGGAGAGGCCAGGAGATGGATGGATGCTTCTGTCTTTACCATAAGCAGGGGACATAAATTAAGGTCGAATAAGATAGAGGACTCAACTGAGGGCAATAGAGTCAGTACATTTAGTTTATTGAAAATTTTTCCCTCATTATTATGTCCACGCAAGAGACGTAAGAAAAGGACTAGTCTATTCCTGTGCAGGTAATCACAAATGCCTAAGCTCAAGCCTGGAATTTTTGTGAAAACCCATACATCAGAACTAGGTGCCTGTGAAGTGAACATAATTGCACATGCCCGGGAAATACCACACCACACCATTAACCAGGTCCAGTTCCGCAATGCCAGTGCCAAGCCAAAGGCTAAAGAAAATAAAATCCCTTCCAGAACGGAGAGACGCCGAATGCGGTACATTATTATGCTGAGAGAGGAGAGAGTTTTCAGTGGCAGGGGAGGAAAGTTCCAACAAGCACAGCTTGCTATAATACAGTACATGTGTAGATGATTTCGTAAGTCGAGAGGTGTCAGTTGTAGGCGGAAGAGGTGCATCGATGTCATGCCGAACAGTCATGATTCCAGTCGTTCCCTCGCCACTTGGCATAGGTTCATATTGTACAGGTCGAGTCGAAGGTAATTTTGTACATGCGGTCGAATAAGAACGGAGAGGCGGGGTTTGTGCGAGGAGGAAAAGAGCGTCGAGAGGTTTATGCGTTCTTCACAACACCAACCTTGGCGGCCTAGACAGAGACATAGATTAGCTACAGAGCTCACAGCAAAACAGAATGATAAGCATGAGAACTTACCCTCAAAACTCTCCCATGCAGGCTAAATCCCTTGCTCTGAACATACATGATGTCGCCGTCTTCCTTGTCCTCGGCTTTGGCCATGAAAGTAGCTTCATGAAGGTTCGGATCGAATTTCTGAGGCTTGCCATCCTCAGTGGGCTCACCGGGATCGAACCTCTCCAGGCCGTGTTTTTTCAACGTGCTCATAAGGACGCTTTCCGTCATCTTCAGACCCTGATAAAGATCGTTCAGTTCCTTGTTGCCCTCCGCCTCGGCAGCACTGAGCTTCTCGGCAGGAACAGAAGACAGAGCGCGCTCAAAGTTGTCAATGGTCTCCAGAAGATCGGTAGCGAAACGCTGGATCGCAAAAGTACGTGCGGCTTCCATGTCCCGCTTCGTGCGCTCTTGCAAATTCCGGAACTCGGCTACGGAGCGCAGGAGTTTGTCCTGTGCGAAAATCATGTTAGTTCTAACCAGGGAAAGAAGTCATGTTGGGCCGAAATAAAGCAATCGAGTACAACATTTACACAGGCGCAGCAAAACAAAAATTGTTAACCGTAGTTCATACCTTCAAATCGATAATCTCCAGGTTCTTCACTTCCAGCTCCTTTTTCAACCGATCCTCGGTTGATTCAGCAGCAGCTTCTGTTTCGCCGTTTCCTTCGGGGGCTGCTGCACCCTCATTTTCGGTTTTCTTCTCCTCTTCCTTCTTCTCCTCTTCCTTTTTCTCTTCCTCCTTCTTCGGCTCTTCCTTGTTGGCCCCGTTCTCCGTAGAGTAGTAGCGAGGTACTGGCCGGAAGGGAGATTGCCTGAGAGACTGAGAAAGCTGCTGGAGAGGTGACGTTCGTCTAGCCGACAGACGCGGCGACGATATGGCACGAACGGACAGTGCAGACTGCACCGCACGACGTTGCCTGAGAACTGTCCGTTGGAACATTGTTGTATCTAGAAATGAATAGGTGAAACCCAAAAAAAGGGTTGTGAAGACGCGTCAAGAAGAATTAGTTTGGAGCTGTTGACTGTTGCATCGATCTCGCATCACAACTTTCTTTCTCCGAAAATTACGGAGTACTGGCTATGGAAAAACTGCCGCCCGGCCTCCGATATTACATAATCCAGCCGACCTGTTTATCATCCAACTGCAGCTGTCATTATCGATCCTGCCATCTGCCATCATCTTGTTGTCAAGAGCAAGCGTGATCTTTTTTATATTGCTAACTGATGTAGTTTTATTCTGGCTTGTCTGAATAGAATCCCAGCAAAGAGGGTGTATCAAGCACATTGATGCTTCAGAGAACAAAAAAGATTATCAAACTGTTAGGAAATTCACTGCTAACGACTGTGTTCTTGCTAACCAGCCAAGGGTTAACATTGCAATCACTCAAATGAGAGTCATTAATGGTATTTCAAGTCTTCACCACCCCTGACCATTAGCCGCCCATTCTCCGACCAAATATCCAAAAGTACAGCAAGCCAATGCCAGATTGTCTTCTATAACGCCAAACGATGTCACCCCACTGTACATTGAAACAAAAGGTCAAAATGTTGGGAAATATATGCAAAGGTCATGGAAGAAGAGAATGTCTTCTAGGCAGCTGCCTGACTCTCCTGGCTAGAAGGAGCGTTCCTTGACTCATTCATGCGTTCCATCTCTTTTTCAATTTCCGCAAAAAGCGCATGTACACTGGCGTCCGCGTAGACTTTCGAGTCTGCATAGATTTTGATGGATTCTTGGCGGCTCATATCCACTCCATTCTCCTCATTGTTGACTGGGCTCCGGGGAGGGGTCTGCTGTTCAGAAGCCTGGGACTGTGGAGTCGTCTGCAGCATCAAAGCTGCAGCAACGTGTTCCAATAGCTTTTGACGGACGCGAGTTCGACGGTTCTCAAAGTGCTCCAGCTTCGTGATCCATTCGTCGATAGACTGGTCAAGTTCCGCAAGGGCTTCTTGTTGTCTGAGCATGCTCTCACAAGAGAATTTGGCCAACGTTGGTGATCGAAGGTAGGCTATCATCCGTTCATGCAGAGTCTGTCGCCCGGACCGGAGAGACCTGTGTGTATTACGGAGATATTCGCAACGCTCGTCAAGGGCTCGGAGCTCCTGGGCGCAAGGTCGGGATTAGCAAATCCCCATCGCGACAGCGGCAAGCAAATGAATAAGATAAAGGTAGAAATCTTACCTGGGAGAGCGCTTTGACGTCGCGATATTTTAGAACCTCGAACTTCTCAGCCTGTCCTCTTGCTTGATCTTGCAGTCTTTCCAGGTCTGCGATTGAGAAAACGGACGCTGCTTCCGATGGGATGACTCCTGAAGGCAGAGGTTTGGCTGCTATGTACTCTGCGGAGGGAAGCTCTTTGATTGTTCTGTCTTTGCTGGGATTGCGGCGTTTTGTCGGCCGACCACGGTCCATAATTGAGGTCTCTGAGAGCTCCTTCTTGTGTGTATTTCGTGCTAGGAATCGCTCTGATGTTTCACTTGCGGAGCCTGCTGCGGCTGAAGCGCTTTCACTACGCTGGTGAACTCGTGAGGAAGGACCTTCTGAGGGCCGGAAGTCCATGGCAGTAGCTGCTCTGGGGCGTGTCAATGGATTCCGCAATTGAGTCGCGACATGTGTCGTGTTCGGAGATCCAGTATCTGTCGACGCATTTCTGACGGTAGAATTTTTGTCGATCGACGAGGGCGCTTTTCTCGCTGGCGAAGTGTACTTGGATGCTACACCTCGCTGACTTACAGAAGGAGAACGACCCATCATCCGGGGAGACTTTGGCGGGACGGCTGGAGGTTTTTCGAGCTCTGTTTCCGACTGTTTATTCGTTGTCCCCCTCAAGTCATCTGAGTTCTTTGAAGACTCTTTGTCCAGTCGGGGGATCTTCCGGAAACAGAATGCAAGGTTCGGCAACAGGTGCGAGCAGAGTGTCCTGAAAAGGATTCCGGGTCGCTGAAGCTCCCGGGGCACTATTTGATCTCTCATGAACCGGATATCTCCCTGGGATTGTTGCTAGGAGGCGATCAGTACGTGGATGATCAGATGTATAAGGGGCATGGTACCCACGGGAATCCATATAATTTCTTTGAAAGGTGGCCATTGGTGCTATTCCTAGCTCAGGAATATTGATATTTCGTCGGTCTGAGAGTGATTCCTCCTTTTGCAGCTTTGGTCTTGAAAGGTCATCAAATGACAACGGTGACTCAGACTCTCGAAGTGAAGGGCTTGATTGACTGGACGTCAATTTATGGGCGATTTTGCCACTGCTTTCTATGAGGTTGGAAGAAACAGCCTTCTTGATGACGGGCCAGAGGTTGTACCTCTGCTTTTCTGTTGGACTTGGCGAGCCGATCCTCCTGTTGTCAAGCTGAGGAGGGATATCCTTCAGAAACAATCCAATTGGGTATTCCGTGCACTCGGGGACAAAAGACATACCTCTACATGCGTCTCTTTGGCCACGAGGTTGTTCAGGCCGACACTGATATAGGGATCCTGGGGACTCTGAAGGAAGGAAAGCATCATGCCGGCTATTCGCACAAACTTCCTGATTTATGTATAGGACAAGACGGTTTTGAAGGCCATCTGGCTGCAATGTCACGGCGGTTCAGACTAATAATAACTGGTGGCCGGTATCCTAACGCTCGTTAGGAGCAAGTCTGTGTCATACGCACCAGGACTATGATATGGTTTATTATAGGATCCGTCAAGCCTCATATCCCATTACTAGTGAAAGTACGCCCCATCACACTGAGGCAGGGCCGCCTTAGTTCGAGTGTGTTAAGGGTGGAACGTGCAGCTTGAAACAGCATCCATGTCCATTCGCGAGGCTTGGGATAACTGCAAGAAGCTGCACCAACCCCTCTTTTCTTTTACATTTTTTCCTCTTGGCTTCACCTGTCTGAGTATCGCCGCGGGACTGAAGTTGCCAGCCATCATGCGTGGGGGGGCTTGGAGGGCAGTAAGGTTACTCATTTAGAGTCTTGATCTAGGATGCAAATCTTCCGCGCGGTTTCCATCGCCGCCTGTTTGAGGAAGCGAAGATAAGATCGGCGGAGCTCATCCAGCCTGAGTATACGGAGAACGCGGACTGTCTAAGTTATCTAGGTCAATCCTATGAACCGGAACAGGAAAGCATTCACCCCACTCTTAATAACGTTCCTGTAAGGATGTGCTTCCACGCTGTCGCAGAACAGGGCCTCTAAGCGAGACTGATAATATGGCCCAGGCGGGTCTGACACCTCCCGCGACAAACATGAAGCCGATGAAGCAAAGTCAACTAAACTAATTGGTGAGCTAAAGACATTCTTTGATCCCAATCTAGCTATAGCACGCCACATGGAGAAGAGCTCCTGAACGAGTTACGACCCTGATTCGTGGATTCTAACCCAACTGTCCGGACTTGGACCACACCTTTCTTGAAGAACTTGCTGATACTAGGCAATCGAAGCTTCTGATGCGTCTCCTGAGGCCCGCTCGTCCTGCTATGGGTTCTTTTCCCGCACTCGAACTGGTGCGAGAGTACAGATGCGAGTCCCAGAAAGGACATCCTGATGGAACCTTTTCAGACGATGGACCGTCCTGAACTTTGGGTCGACAGCTCAGCGATTCGTCTAGAGGAGAAGGTTTTTCTCGTTTCTCATCTATCACGATGGCCGCATTCTCCTCACCCCGCAATATCGCTGCTGCCTATAGCACTGGTTTTAAGACCGCCACAGGCCCAATCGGAAGACGTTCAGCGCTCCAAGCGAGAGGCCAGCCGTTTCGGACCTTCGTCTCTTTCTACAACGCTCGTCTTCGGAGTTGGCACGAGGGACGTTCTTCGAGATGATTCTTTCTCGACTTCGCGCCCGGCGATTCTGCAGTCACAGGCGTCAGTGGCTGGACGAACAGCAGACATCATCTTTCAGCACTGCAGCAAATGTCGCAGACTCCTCCAGGGTCCAGCACGCAAGGTTTGGCATCATGCTCCCCATGATTTGAATCGACAGGGGTTTAGTAGCAGCCCCAATACGGATACACACGGGCCCCGAGTCCGTGCTGGCTCCATCTTGGATGTCAGATCTCCGCTCAGCCGTTTTGCGGTCTTTCACTGTAAGCTTGTCCTGGCATCCCGTATACGGAGTATTCCAGGGGACAACCGGTTATTATTATTATTACTATTACTATTATTATTCTTATTAACCTCCATTATCTTGTGCTCCTTTTACCTGAGGACCTAATGAATATTGATCCACAGAACGATATCGCCAGCCACATTTGGTATCCGGTCGAGGGCCTTGTTCGACTTTGTTTCACCAATTCTCCGCCGGCCTGTGACGCCGGCTCCTGCCAGGCAGGGCCCCTGACAAATAACATAAAAGGAAAGACAAGCTAAAAACGGCCTAACAAGGGAAGCGTGCGGCGTGCCTCAGACCGTCCTCTTTGGTCGAAAGTTCGTTCCTACTGACTGCCCCGGACTCCCGTCGGACTAAACGGCTTAGCTTCGAGCTTGATAGTTGAACGCCTCGAGTCAGTGACAGGCCTTGGCCCAGATGGTTGGAACTTTGGGAAAACAAAGACAGAGCTGCCGAATGCAAACAGATGCGAAAACATAAAAGCGATCGAGCTAGAGCATTCTTATCTTTCGAACCACGTGAAATGCACATGCTGTCGGAGTATCAACGGCACAGTCAAGTCCACCCGTGGGGCCGTGAAGCCTGCATGCAATTCACATGCTGATCCCTGGTGTAGTTTCGGTTATCGATGCCAAGACTCACCGGTCACCACTGGCTCAAGGGGTTATTATCGATAAGTTTTCGAGATTTCTCGGAAGTGGTGCACGCACCAGCGAGTGATCAATGTGGAGAGACCATCTCAAGGACTTTGCGGGAGCGTCCTCCGGAGCGGTGCATCCAGCACCTTAGGCCATTGCACCATCTGCACATCAGATAGTTCGTGGCATTTTCTCCAAGGGAGTGGGTAATCGGCGCGGATAGTTGGGAAGAACTAAAAATTGGGAAAGAAAATTGGCCAACGAGCTCGTGCTTACCGATCTTGTTGGAAAATTACTTCTTCACTAACAGGGATGAGGCGCGATCTCATGTACAGAAGGCAGGCGATAAAATCCAGATGAAAAGTGTTGTGTACAGACTGAGAAAGCCCTTTGAGTACCTGTCTACCTGATCATTGCCGAATCCTTTGGGGGAACTGGACACATATGGGTCCCTTACTTGGGTTGACAAGGTCAACTGCTGCCCATTGTCTCCATCGCTGATTGTTGAGACCATGGGGGTTGGAACTTATGGGCCTGGCAGTTACGGAGGGTTGCCATCTCATCTGTTTTTTTCAGGCCGCTTGTGAAGCTGGCCCGGGTTTGCCCGGATTATTATTCGTCATTTTTTCGACAACAGCAACGACAGGGAAAGAACGAAAAGAAAAGAGCCGTGCGCAATAAGCCACACGTGGCCATTCTGCATTTTGCGCGGACTAGACTGCAGTTACTTCTTGCAGGCTTGCACGCAGTCGGTGACCGGGGCCAGGGTATAATAACCTTATTATAGTGGTCCTTAATTCGCCATTATCATCGTCACCATCAGCATCATCATTAACCTCTAGCAGCTAATGCACTGACCGGTACGCTTAGGGCTTTTCTACCTGCCCTGCTCCTTTAGTTACAGACGGAAGACCGTCTGCTATCTGATCGATCAACAGATGGGTTATGCTCTGTCAATACTCCGTCCGTGTCCTGGTCCGGACGTTTGGAATAAGGAAGAGAAATTCACCTAGCATGAGTCGCTGGCATGATGAAGCCATCTGATGAGAATGTATTATTAACCTTTCAACTTCCAGAATGTGATAGAGAAGCGCCTACGCCGCACTCAACTAGGGCTACAGTGTAACATTCCTGCCGCCGTTGTGCTTCCAGACAAATTCATCGTCTAGACGACTTGCCTGTCTCAGTCCAGATCAGAACCGGACTACCAGTGATACAGACAGGTTTGATGCTTCATACTCGAAATTTTTCGACAACAGACAGCAACCGCGGTGTGTGTTGGAAAATTAAGAGATTTTACCCATGGTCACGAGGCTACTCCCAGCCAGCAGTTGCTGCATGAATCTGAAGAGATCTCATTCTCAGCCCATTCAAGACGAGGATTGTAGATCCTCGCATGGCATCATGATCAACGAGGTCACATGGATCATCCGGATTCTACATTCTGGGTGGCTGTTGGACAGCTTTACGGTGATATTCTTGATAGGAGCTCTGCAGCCACACGCAGATCATGATATCTGATACAGATCACATATGTCCTGCAAGTTTCTTAACTTGTTATACATCCTGATTCTGGAAGGAGTTGGGTTCAAGAGGATTTTCTAGAAACTCGCTGCAGAATTGGCAACATGGAAGAACCTCTGCCAGTATACGCAAACCATATTTATCACTGCTAACAATGAAAGATAGAAACCTATCCCTATATCTGCTCTGAGACACTTAAATATGACTGAACAGCCTCCAGGTCTCAGTTTGAAACCCCAGCTATCCAGTCTCGACAAAGGGTTCAAAGTTGACTTGCGATTGCAGCCTAGCGATCATTGACCACGCGTATTATCATCAGGTGAACTCTGGATCAGATGGTGTCAAAGACCTAAAAGTCTTCTTCATAGGATTGAACTCTTTCTCCTAGTCGACCCAAACCCCTTCATTCAAGTCCCTACATTTGGAAGTTGATATGGACAAGGACAATATCTCTAGAGTGGTGGCTTTGATCTGCGCGTATGCGAGATTTTCCTGATATCACTCGACGAGGCATGATGAAGAGACTCATCAAGACGGCGTGTGGTGATGACCCAACTTGGCCAATGTCGATTGATCGGAATGCCGTTGGCCATTTGATCCTGGTCATATCGTAGATGCATCCATCATGCGAGATTCAATCTATCTGCCTGGTCTGACTGACCACGTCCGATTAACTAATCCGAGACAGAATCAGGTTCGATAGGCTCATAACCTGCCGACGGGATACGATGAAGAAGCTGGACTTGCTTTGGCATACCTAGGACTATAGGTAAGACATAACTAACCAGACTAACTAAAAGACGATGGGTTTATTGAGAATCAGAATCATGAGAATCAGGGCTGCCTACGGTCTACATCCTACAGGTGTTGATCTGATCTGATCTGATATGATTCCATCTCGTTGATGTCTCAGATAAATAACTAATTGCGCATTTGCAGTCTTCACAGGTGTGTTGGCTATGCCGTTACCAGCCAGTTTCTACCAGGCAGACAAATTATTACGCCTCCAGTAGTTTACTCGTAGTGAACTGAGACTGAATTCTAGAATTTAGATATCCTCGTTCATATCTCATTCTTCCTCCAAGGAAGGCAGTAGTATAGAATTATCGGTATCAGTGTAGGACAAGAACATCCCTCGATAAAAATTAAACCAGGAGCACTGTTACTATTGTAACAATCTCCCCATTTGACTGTCTTTCAGTCACGACAGAGGTTTTCCCAGTGTACAGGATTCTATAGATGAAAAAGTAAGAGACAATGACACCACTCGCGAGAATTGAATTCAGAACCTGTTCGATCGTATCGAACGGCGTTGTTGTGCTGGCACGATTGCCTGGGTGTTGATTCGAGCAAGAAGAAGGATCGAGATCAAGAACTGGGTTGTTATCATGTAGGTTTGTTTTTAATGCCATCGTGATTGATGAACTCGAAGTCAGTCTATGACTCTTGGTTGAGGAATTTATCTCGTGCGGAAAAACGGATGCTTTCGTTCTTGTCCAGATGATGTCTTTCTTTCTCTCTTATGAAATGGCGCAGGCCACGCACTGACAGGCCGCTTCGTAAGATGAGGTAATTGTTAATAATGGCACTGCTCTCGAAATTGGCTGTGCCTGTTGCTGGTGACCAGATCAGGTACAGTAAGAAATAAGGTACACGTATACGTAACTATCCGGGAGGCTGGTTTCTCCTCCACAGACTATTCCGTCGCTCAAGTGGAGAACGTTCCTGCGTCCTGGGAAATAGTACGTACTGCATTCGTGGCTTTGCGGCATTTTTTAAACAAGAAACGTCCTTGCCAAGCTGCGCCAATAGCCAGGCGCAGCAAGGAGGATTATACGATTTCCAGCTTCGGTAATTAAATGTCCGCACGTGTGGAGAGTGCTGCGGGCGGAGAAAGAAGGCTTGCTGCTGCGCCGCACCGTAAACGGAACAGGCGCATTTAATCCTCGTGGGATTGCCACATGAGTAAGCTGTATATATAGGGACTGGTTCTTGTTTTTTTCCTCCTGCCAGCAAAAAAAGACAAGTTGCAGAATTACCCAGAAACCTCGTCTTGCAGGACTTGTGTCCAGCTCTGCCGTTCCAGAGCTTTCTCTTACTTCTGCCTCCTTTCTCCACCTGCAGTTGGATGTCTTATCGATCCCACACATCTCTGTGCGGTCGGGATCACCCCTGTTCGCATTGACAGCGGCAGAGATTTCCATTTCTTCAGCCTATTTGAACTCATTCTAGCAGCCAGAGATTCCTTCTCGGAATCATATCAGTCGCAAGACCTTGCACCATGGCGACAGAAGCCACCTCATCACCTCCGCCCGCCGCCTCTACTACACCATCCAGTCGCTCCTCCTCCTCTCGCTCCTCGTCGCGACCCTCGCTCTCTCTCGATCTGTCCAACCTGCCGCCGCTCTCACAGCCCTCTCCGCCCTCGAATACACTCCTGATCACCGATCTACATGACCTCTTCCTCTTCCAACCATCATCGCTCGCCTCGATCCGGGCCCAGATCACCGCCGTCGCCCCGCTGAACTCCTTCTCTCCCCTGCCTTCTCTCCGCCGAATCGTCTGCTCCTTCCTCTCGACTGACGACGCCATCCGCGTCCGGCAGCACCTCGAGGCAGAGGGCCTCATAGACCGGAAGAACGTGCGGGCCCGCATCTACTTTGGCGAGCCCACCCCGATCGAGAGCACGGAGGAGGCGCGCCGACGGAAGCTGTTGGAGGCGCCTCATGCTCAGAAGCTCTTCTTCATCAGCCCGCCACCCAGCCCGCCGCAAGGCTGGGTGTCGCGACCCGAGGATCCGCCGAACAAGGAGGTGCACGCCAGCGACCTGGCCGAAGCGCTGGCCAGGCTACGCACAGAGCAGCAAGGCATTGCGACGGACAACGCGACGGCGTCAAACGACCCAGCATCGCCAGTCTCCGTCTCCTCGTCTGACGGCGCGCACCCCCAGGTCGCGAGGACAGGCAGCTGGCCCGTCTCCGGGTCAGGACAGCGCAGCCGCAGCAGCACCATCATCTACCACCCGTCCGACCACGGCAGCAGTCCCAACTTGCCCGCCGTCATGGTCGAAGACACCAGTGCTGGCGATGGCGACGACGACGATCTCGACGTTGATATGAGCAGCCCTGTCGACTCGTTCCCTCCTCAGCGGAAGAAACTCATTCGCACGGCCCGTCCTCCAGTGGAGCTGATGGAGTAGGAGTAGACGAGAGGGACACTATACCGAAGAACAAAAAAAACGATACGACAAGCAAGAACAAATAGATTTCTTGCTACGTTTTTTTCTCCTTCTCGTTCTTATCCGGTCCGCAGGTCGTCTGTTGCCTTTCTTGTCCGGCGGACATTTGAACGATCCGGGCCATTCATTCATTCGCTATCTAATAATAGATCTTTTTCTGGCTGCATTAGACAGGGGTCGTCATTTTACACGGATTTTGAGAACTGTTTCATTCGATTCGATTCGAGCGAGCGAGCAAGAAAGCAATTACACTGCATTTGCATTGCATAGGGCGTGTGCGGTGTTTGTTGTGGGAGAGTCATGGTCATGATCATGTTGGCGGCGTTCTTGAGCTGGTTAGGTAGAGCTTTGACTCGTTTTTCGGACACATATGGCTGGGGTTTGTTTTTCGTCATGTCTGTTTATGGTTACGAACGAATAACATGTACAAACATTTTTTTTAATATACAGCATACTTAATTTATTCAATTCGATTCGATTCGCTATTACATTTTTATTATTTTCTTGAACTGTATTAACGAACGAAATCAGAATATGGTAATAACCACAATGATTAATTGATTGATTGCCCGATTGATTGATGTAGATCGATTTAATCACTAACATCCAGAACCTGCGGCTGCGGCTTACTCACAAAGCTCTTTCTTAGTGAACTTGGCTGGTGAGCTGAAGCGTATATGCTGCCGGATCGACTGTCTCAATCCAAATCAATCGAACAGGACCACCGCCGTCTCCTTGACGAGATCCGGCCCCAGCATGGCGGCCAATTCTCCCACGATGCCCTTGACGGATTGTGGGTTTCGGATGTCCGCGTCTTCCCACCCGACAAGGTCCTGATGGGTCATAGATATTAGTGGGTTGTTCAAGGAATAATAGGCATAAGGGAAGGATCAGGAATCAACTTACGCTTGTGTGGATCAAAGTTCCCTGGACAAGGAGCAGCCAGTGGTCCAGGTCGAGCTTAGTCTCCACCTCTTCTGCAGTCATAACGCCCGGCATGCGGATTTCGAAAAGGGACAGCTCCTCCTCATTTACATCTTCCTCCATCGCATCACCCTTGCCGGTATCTTCCGCCGCTGCCGTGCCCTCTCCTTGGTTACCTTCCAAGGCAAGCTTTCGATCACGAGAAAGTGATACATATGGCCGCTCGTCCAATTTCTTCAACAGTTCGCCATCGAGTGGATCCCAGGTCAGGCTCTCCGGATCTGGTATAATTGGAATGGTTAGAATTTCCCTCTCTTGTGCAGTTCTGCACGGGAAGGCGTCCTCACCCAAGATGTACTGTGGTCTAAACTCGGCTTTGTACCGCATCTTTTGGCATGAATGGATATAGTATCCTATCCCGCGGTCAGAAAATCCCCTCCGGATGCCAGATCAATAGCAAACAGTCTCCTCATACCCATGTAATAATACTGGTAATTATTCTCAATGGCAAACGCGATTTCTCGTAACGCACTGAGTTTTCCGAATTCAAAATCACCAAACTCGGGATCGTAGCTACACAGCCTCATTGTCAGTTGCAGGAATATTCCATCGCTCGTGGTCCACACTTACTAGAGATAGACAGAGCTCACACCGTTCGGTAAGAGGTCCAAAACGCCAACCGCGATGAGTCTCCCATCCAAGCGATACAACTGGTGCCACGATCCCAGTCTCTTCTCATCAGAACCCTTTTCGGGCTTGTTCCGCTTCAAACCGGAGCAGAGGAACCGCTTGAAGTCGTTATTTTTCCATTTATCTGCGGGTTCTCCGTGGATGGCTTCCTGATACTTAACGAAAACATCAAACCTGTGAATTGCGATCAACAAAGGCGGACGATATCAGCAGGCTGGACAGTGGCGAACGTACTTCCGCTGGGAGATGGAATCGTCTTCTATTATGACCTCAAACTTGTGCGCCGGTTCGATAGCCCGCTTGGTCTTGGGGTCGACGGGCCTTTTCAAGTTCACGTATTCGGCCTCGTGGACCGCGGTGAGGAGGTCAAAGTTCTGTTTCCGGTGCCTTTTCTCCCTGCACGTCGTGATTCCAATAAGCAACGTGGTGCCTTGAAAGGGATCGAGGTCTAGCTGCAAACGAATCAAAAAGGACCACTTACTCTCTACTCTTGGGACATAGCTCCGCCAATTTCCGGATATATTCGGGGCCCAGGACATATCTGTTCCACCGATTGATCGCTTTTCGCTGGTCTCGTCTAGGCTTGAAGGCTGAGGCTTCCAGCCTACGACGCGGTTAGATGTGCAACCGACATGTCAGACTAGAAGCAGCAGAACCGTACCTCATCGTATAGTGTGGACAGCATGACCGTTGCAGGTTCTGCTTGTAATACAAGGTACCCGATCTGACCCAACGGTTAATTTAACCAAAATATTAAGACGGATTTCGGTACAAGGAAGAAGCACCTTCTCCAACCACGATTGATCAGGTCCTCATAATGCTCTGGACGGACATGGACAGAGCTCGTATAGTACGCAGCAGCTGTCAGGAAGAGAGGTTAGAGCAGAGTTGATGATTGGTGGACAGGGGATCGCAATCCCAAATAGGTTAAGCGGGGCCCGTCGCGATGGGACGGCCGTGACGACGGATTTCGAGATGATGTTCTGCACGCAGAAGGCAGTGCACGAAGGATCGTATCGAAGGGGGTAACCGGTAGAAAGGAGTCGATCAGATACTCACTTCCATTCTCGGATTTGCAGTAGCCACATTGATTCCGTTGGTAACCTGTAGAGATCGCCGAACGTCATTAGCTCTGCAGGGCGCATCCCCAAGTGCGTGCTTTGCAGGAAAAGACCAGAAATGACAAGGTTCCAGCAAGAAGGCGATAGACGCTCTGTCAAATGGAAAATAAACACCCATAAGTCGATGCTGGAAACCACGAGATGGGAAGGGTCGGGCACGCCCGAGAGGGGGTCAGCAGAGCGGGGAGGGAGGGGCAGATCGGATGGCAGCGGGCAAGGTTGATGAGGAAGGAGGGGCTGCGGTGCCTGCTCGACACGACGCTGCCAGCAGCTACTGGCCTGCAGCGCCGACCGGGGAGCCCGCACTGCCTGGGAGCCAGTGAAGCTGGCACGAGGCACGGGAGGCCCCTCCGACTGGCCGGTCAAGGCAGAAGAATCCAGAGGCAAGAAAAACCCTCTTACCTAGGGGTCGAAAGAGCGACAGCTTCCTCGCCGTCTTGCGGTCAATGATGGTAGTCATCCTCGACGTACGACAAGATCTGCTCCGGGTGCAGGGGTGGTGGCGAGAGAAGAAGAAATCAGCTCGAGAGACCGGTCACAAGAAGCGGGCGGGAAGACTGTGCTCGGTGCAGTCTTGATCCGAAGAGCGAGGGCGGTGCTGAAGGGACGATTTGATGGAATAGCAGCCTTGGAGGCAGGTTCCGCGACTGGAGCAAGAAAGAGCAGGCAGAGTCGATCGCAGACGCTGGTCGCTGGCCGGGTGGTTGTGCTGGGCGAGGGAGAAGGAAGTTTGGCAATACTATTAAAATCACGGGAGCACATATAATTGCTGGGAAGCCTGGGGCATGTCCCCCTGCCGGTCAGACTTAAAAAGGAAAGCTCGTAAGAAAGTCGCCTTGCTACGAAGAACATCTTGATGCTTCTAGAAGAACAAGCCATATGAGAGACAACAGCGCTATCAACCAATGCCCGCAGCATGCAAAACACCCCTTCTCCCCCCTACGAGGGCCGGCTGTGCTGTTGGGTACGCCTGGCTCCGCCCACAGTGCTCCTGGCAGCATCGAGCCAGGTACAGACCTCCTCTTGTCCATCCCCTGGGACCTGTCCTCACTAAAGTGATCTGGCAGGATATTTTAACCACTTTGGTTTAGTATCTTCCAGAGCGTCCGATGTGGTTTTGATATGTCTCCAGCTATCTAGTGGTGCAGTACGGTAGTTAGTAGGACGGGACGGGACCCGTCAAAGGATGCACCTCGGCAGAAGTAACCCGGTAGCCCGTGTCCACGATCGATCTAACTTGCTGCAAGCAAGCCATGCAAGCCCCATCTGGATGGACTGTACGGAGCAGAGCACGAGTGACAGACGTGATTAACAGCGCCCAAAGCGATCGCAGATGCCCCGGCCCGCGTCAGGGCGTCGATCACCCCAGGCTCCATTAATCAGAGTGTTACCAAAGACAATCCATAGCAACAAAAAAACCTTGAATTGTGAAGACGAATACGGGAGCGGCTAGCGTTCCCAGTGAACCAGTTGCCTCTCCATTTGTGGTAGCCGTGATTGGCCGTGGATTCGACAACGCAGCAAAACGGTCACGACTCGGCATGAGTCTGTCCTTCAGTTACAGTCAAGGAACAAGCATCGATCCTCGAACTTGGCCGACTGTTCTTGTTAATACGTAAATACCAAGGGAGGTGGTGGGCGATCCACATTCCAGCCATCTCCGATCTGTGACGTAACAATGTCCCCTCTCCACGAGATTCCAGATAACTGGCGTAGGTAGTACGGGGAGATAGATTCTTTAAAGTTGAAGACATTATTGTGTTGTTCTTGCCAAATAAGAATTGTAATGACTTCGTTTGTGATTGGCGTAGGGTCAACGACTACAGAGCGACTGTCACTGGGCTCATCTAGACGATCTTTGTTCCCCGCCACAATGCATCTGTTGTTGGTCCTAGGTACCTAATAGTTGTGTTGCTTGCATTTACTTTGCCGGCGGTCCAGTCAAGGGCCATGCTGCTTGCAGGACAGAGCAAGATAGAGTCGGTTTGGAAGAACTCTGTCTGGTGGGAGAAGTGGGCCAATGCCTCCGTGTCGGTTTCAGAGGCAAGTGGCCTTAGGTACCGTCCATTGTATCGACTACCTAATAGTCATTCTTAATAGTCATTGCCGGCCGGCAACGGCGCGCGAACCAAGGGCTTGTCGTGGGCGCGCTTTCCACCATCCGATCAGATCTGGCTGAATAGAACGAGAATCGCTCGGAAGGAACTGTTACCTGGGTCCAGTGTGTGGTCCCCGCTGTACCGCACCTGGTGGAAGCGAGAAGGCGGCCGACACCATCCGGATCACTGTCTAGGTCGCATGTAGTATGGACTGTACTGTGCTCTGGCCAGCTGGCTTTTTTTGCTCTTCCATACTGTCATTGCCTGCATTGTTGCCTGTCTTTGCCGAAGGAAACTCGGCGCTTGAGGCGGGTAGAAAGGACATAAAATCGGAGAAAAGGGCTACCCCCGGGATGGAGACAAGCAGCCACTGAGCTGTCAATCGAGAGATCTGTGTGGAAGCCCCTCACCGACCAAGAGACTGGGAGATTGCAGGAATAGTCGGCGGCGACGGCGAAGGGCACGAGGAGCCTGGGGCGGCTCCACTGGCCGTGCTGGAGGACTGTGGTTGAGCGTCGTTCAAGGCCGCAAAAGGACCACACGCGAAAGGGCAAGCAGAGGGCAGAAAAGAAAAATAACACACTGGAAAGCAGGCGCGTTACGGTCTCGATACGGCATCGCCCACCGCCGGTTTGGCGATGATTCCAGGCTGCCGGAAGCGGACCCGGCCTCGGGGCTGCGGCGACGTGACCGTACGCTTACACGGGCTGTGGCCAGCAGCAAGAGCCAGCGAGAGCGCTTTCCAGCGTGCGCCGCTCCGCCAGCGCTGGGACGGAGGCTCTGGAGGCTGCTTGGGGACGTAGGAGAGAGAGCAGCCTCAGTATTGTTCCCGGCGTCAGCGCCCACAAACTTCCTGCCGGACCGCGCCGTCATATACCAAGCTCTCTGATCCTCCCCCTCCCCCCACGTAATTCTTTCTTCCTATTTTTCTTCCCTCCTCCTCCTACTCTGTCTCCTAATATTTCCCGTTAAGATGCGTCCCTCAACCCCGGCCTTACCTATCGGGTCCCCGTCCATTGCGGGACTGAACGGGAAGACCTAGTCCCTTCTTTGTCCTCAGTCAGCAAAGTCCCTTGGTTTTTTTTCCCCCCCAACACCGCTCGACCGCCTCCCTGGGCGTCCGCCTTCCGCCCACTGCTGGCTGGGACCCCGGACTCATCATTTTTCGAGCCCCCTTTCTCGCCCTCGAGATTGTGCCACTCGAGGGGCTGGTCTTCTGTGCCCCCTGCAAGCTCTTTTCTCTCCGTTTTAGGCTCCGACGCAGCCCATTGAGTCGTGTCGAGAGCTGCGGCTGTGACGTCTGTCCTGGAAACCAGGTGGTTCATTCTTTTACCTTCGACCCTTCCGACCGCTGCCAGAACAATCTCTGTCATCAAAATATTGCTCTGATTCCAATTCCGATCCCCTGGACCAGGCAGCTGTTGGCGAAGTTCTTCGATTCAAGATGGCACAAAGTCGTTCTATGGAATCCCGCACTGGCAGGACAAATCAAAGTGAGTCTTGATCTTGACCCCAGCAGGCACGTGTCAACCGTTTCTCCCCCCTCGACCATGCAAAATGTCACATTCCACTTGCATGCATCGGCCGTTTCCTGGTCCCATTTCTCGGTTTCTCTTTGCTAAATGAAAAAAATCGGATTGTTTGGATCGACGCTGACCATTTTCGCACCTGCACAGGATATGGCGCTAAAGGAGAGAGACTCGTGGCTGGCGTTGTGCCGCTGTCTGCCGATAAAACTAAAGTCTTGATGATACAATCTGCTGGGCCTGGAGGCTGGGTGCTCCCAAAAGGAGGTTGGGAGACCGATGAGGAAACAGCTCAGCAGGCAGCCTGCCGGGAGGCATGGGAAGAAGCTGGAGTCATCTGCACCGTCCAGAAAGATCTGGGAACCATACCAGACATGCGCCCCCCAGCGCTGGTCACGGCGCAAGCGCCCAAGGCCTCTTATCAGTTCTTTGAGGTCATTGTGGAGCGCGAAGAACCTCAGTGGCCTGAGATGCACAAGCGAAAACGACAATGGGTCACTTACGCACAAGCAGCGTCCGCGCTGGTCAGTCGCCCTGAGCTGTTAGAAGCCTTAAATCGCAGCTCTTTGAAACGATAGTTGTCACGGATACCTGTGGGTTGCACATTGGCAGTTCTCAGAGGCCACAAATTTCCTTCCTAGTTTATTCCGTGATCTTTGCATTATGACGCGATATGACCCAGCATGCAAAAAAAGTTGTTTCCTTTTTTTTTTGTCGTCCTCAGCTTCCTCATTTCCCAGGGTGGTGCAGCTTGCTTTTCTGTTTTCGGCCACTGGTTTTGCATCTCATCATGCTCGATGCCTTGATAATCTTATCGGATGGCTCTGCGCTCGATCATATGTCTTGATTTCAGCATAGATCCCTTACACCGGTCGTGGTAGAGGGTTAGAGATACCGATGGCTTTCGGCATGAAAAACATTGCACGGGATGGATGGGAGGTGATGGCGGGAGTTATGCGCTAGATGCCTAGTTGATTTCAAGGGGCATCGGGTATGTTCACAGGCTTTTGATTCAGAAGCTGTCAGATTTGATTGCTCTCCCGGTCTAAGTCCGAGAGTCTGTTGAAAGAGAAATGTTAGCTTGTGAATACTGCTTCTGTTATTGAAAGGATCTTTCTCTATTGCTGAGTTCATGGTGGAGGAGGTTAGCGCTCGATACGAGCTTGAATTGCGCATATCGGACCACGACTGTTCAATACACATCATCTTGCATAGTGCCACGTGCAACTGGAAGTCCAAAGTCGCCTCGTTCTCTCGGTCCTCTTATGCCCTAGCTCTTACCATTACCGATGCTTCGATGAAATGCAATACCGCATTTGCATCCTTCAGCGTTCTGTACCAGTACTGTACATTCAACTCCAAAGAAAATGCATCAGCCAGCATTCGCGATTTGGATTCTTTTCCAATCCAGAGCTTTACGGAAGGAAATCAATGGGAACAAGCATGCTTATTGTGTAGGTTGTATTGTCCAGATTGAGCTTGGCCATGAAGCTAGGTATCGTGTAATAAATAAATATATATATATACCATTTTTTTCCCCCTTTCGTTAATTTCTCGTAAATACCTTACTGTAAGATCTTGCTTCTGAAATATTAGAAGTTATCTTCACTTGAACAGATCTCATTAGTGGCTCAAAGAAAAGAGAGTCGTCCAAATCGGGTAAAGCGTGCCGCGGCGGAATCTCAGGCGGGAGAGTACCTTCAAAGACCGATCGATCGGTCCATCGAGGCAAGCATTATTGTTGGAACTGCTGCGCCCTCCACTTCTGCACGTCTGCCAGCTACAACTTGAAGGATAGATCTGGTATCAGAAAAAAGAAAGCGATTTCATCTATCCTTCATTTTTGTACATGAGCCAGACGTGATACTCCTGCTGTGAACGGAAGGAGAACAGCTACCGTGCTGCTCCCTTCTCATCACCCTTCTACTCAATCAAAATGGATTACGAGATGGATATCGAGCCCGCGGGGCCCCAGGTTACTGTTCGCGAGGTACGATGATCTCTTTCACCTGTTATTTCCTGTTTGAGTCCTCACTGACCCTTTGCCACTCGCTCGCTCTAGGCCGAACCATATCGCGTCGACTTTAAACTCAGCAATGTCGACCTCTCCTTTGCGAATGCCCTGCGACGGACGATGCTCGCGGAGGTGCCCACGCTCGCGATCGATGTGGTCGAGATCGAGAAGAACACCTCGGTGATACCGGACGAGTTCCTCGCGCACCGGCTGGGCCTGATCCCGCTCAACTCCAAGAACTGCGACCAGGACATGGAATACGCGCGCGACTGCACCTGCGACACCCACTGCGCCCGGTGCAGCGTCACGCTGACCCTGCATGCGCGCTGCTCCGGGGACGAGGTCATGAAAGTGTACTCCCGCGACCTGGTCGTCACGGGCGAGCGGGCAAACGAATGGGTCGGCAACCCGGTCATCACGGATCCTGAGGGCAAGGGGCCTCTCATCTGCAAGCTCCGGCGCGGCCAGGAGCTGAAGCTTACGTGCATCGCGAAGAAGGGGATTGCCAAGGAGCATGCCAAGTGGGCGCCCACGGCGGCAGTAGGCTTCGAGTACGATCCGCACAACAACCTGCGCCATGTCGACTACTGGTATGAGGAGGATCCGGCCAAGGAATGGTGAGTGCAGACAAACATAGTCCATTACTATCCTTATCTGATCTTTATACTCATGGATCGTATATATTCCAGGCCTATCTCAGAAAACGGAAAATGGGAGACACCCAACCCACCGGACCAACCCTTCGACTACGACGCGCAACCGAGCAACTTCTACCTCGACGTCGAGAGCGTTGGGAACCTCGAGCCGGACGCGATCATCCAGCAAGCGATCTACGTCCTGCAGACGAAGCTGGCCGTGGTCATCGACTCGCTCAACAACCCGGACGGACACGAGGGCGCGAACGGCATGGCCGAGGACGAAGACATGGTAGGCGGCGCGGTGCGCAGTCCAGACGCATACGAACCGCCCGAAGGCATCGACGGAGGCGGCTTCACGGCATACGGAGCGAACGGGGGCCGCAGTGCCTGGGGCGGCGGTACAACTCCGTACGGCACGACGCCATACGGACAAAATTATGGATACTAGAGATGCCAGAAGGGGAATGGAGTGGAGTGGAGCTATTATTCTCCCACTTTCCTCTTTTTTTTTTCACTGTGTGTTATTCTATTCTACGTATTGCTGGGAGCAAGCATCTAAACCGGAGTTAATTTGTTTTTGGCAGGCAAGCAGGGAACGCGAACCAAACAAGAAATGAAAAGAAATATCTGCCTAGTTATTATCCTTTTTTTTTCATGTATGTAAAGTATTATTAATTGGGCAGGCGCATTGGAGGAATGAATGAATGAAATTTCTTTTCTTTTCTGTACTTCAATGTAGGTTGATACCTTTTACTAGAAGGGAATCAGGCTTTTTTTTAATTAATTTCGTTTATTTATTTATTTCTTTCTTTATTTAAAGATTTAAATTAGAATAAAGACTTCTGAAGGGAGGGTAAAAAATAAGAAAAAAATAAAGATATTTTGGTACCCCTTTGTAACTCCGTCCTGAACTGAACCTCAGAGATATGAGAGAGAGATAGATACTGTAGATAGATAGCATGATCAGGAGGACCATGCGCACGACGCCCATGAACAGGACATGACTGGGACGAAAAGGTAAGAAAGTATGAAAAAAAGTAATAGATTAGAAGCCAGACGAGACAGGAAATATAATAATAGCCCCAACCAAATCCAAATCCTCTGTCAAAGTCAAAAACGTAAACGTGGAAATACCTAGACACATAGTGGATGATGATGATGCAATGCAATTTCATGCAATGCAATGCAAACAAACAAACAATCAATCAATCAATCGATGCACACTCCTTGAGCTCCTGGATATGAGATGATATTGATATGATTTGTTTGCCTGCATCCATCCACCCACCCTGATCCTATTTAATAAGCCTTATCCTGATTGAACTCCGGGAACATTGAGAATAAATACCAACCATCCAAAGGAAAATAGTAAAGAAAAATAAAGAAAAAAGAAAAAAAATTCCCTCCGGAAGAAAGTACTGTACTGTACCTGTCTAGAGAAGAGCGGATGTATGTACGGACTGGCCTGACTGGGCGGACTGGGTATAATGACTATAGCAAGACTGACAAGAGGCAGTAAAAAACTGAGAAGGGGGAAGTCACCCCTCTCCCTCACTCATGGATTCCTCCGGCCCGATGCTGAGCGTCGTGCTGCCAGGAATACTCGTCCGGCTGCCCGCTCCATACACCATCTCCATCAGCTTCGCTTTCTGCTTCTCGCGCACTCCGCGAAGGTACTCGTATGCGCTGTCGATGCCCCTGATCTGTCCTTCGACTACGGCTTCCACGGGGCTGAGCATGCGCCCGCTGCCGCTGCTGCCGTCGACCATGCCGACAAAACTGACCGAGTCGTTCCGCCGCACAAGAGGACTCACCAGTTTCCGTCGCAGTGTCTCCAAGTTGACCTTCAGCGTGAGCAGCCGGCCCCGGTGGTCCATGAGAAGGTGCTTGTTGGCAACCGTCCGGCTGCGCACGCTGGCGAGAAGACGTCGGTTCTTCTCGTACTTGCGGACCAAGGCCGCGTCGGGGCCCAGAACCCGCGTCCACAGTGAACTCAGCATCTCGCCCTCTGCCCGCTCCTGCGCATCCGATTCACGAACGACTGTCCGCTGAAGATTGAGGAACTGCCGGTCAATGGACTCGAAGAGCGCAAAAAGCGCCGTCGAGTGGGAGAGCTCGCTATTGATCGACTCTTCCAGCACGTTGAGGAACTCGGTAAATGTCCGGGTCAGGGTGGCACGCGTACGTTGCGCAGAGGTCGGACCCAGGATGGCCGTGACTATCGTGCCCAAGGTGGTCGTTGTGCTGGTGAGGTCACTGCCCCCGTCGGAATCTTCACCCCCAGCGGAATCGAACCGCTCGAGAGAGGCCAGTGACGATATCATAGTGTGCAAGTTGTCGATCATAATCGAGGGCAGGCTGCTGGGAGGCTGATTGGTTAACGTCTGAAGCTCCCGTTTGGCCCAGTCCATCACTAGCAGAATCGAATCGACATCGGCATCGACATTGGCAAAGAAGCGGGTCAGCTCGAGAGAGAGCGTCTTTAACGATTCGGAGAGCTCGTCCAGTTGGCTCACGATGATGGGCGCACTCGTCATATTCGATCCCCGGAGCGATTCGCCCAAGTCCCAAACCGCAACGCCCGTCTCTTGCAGTGTGCCGATCTGTTTCACACCGTTTTCCGAGTAGTGAATCAGCGGCTCGAAAGAACGAGCAAAGCTGGACAGCTTTACGAGGTCCGGAACCGCCTGCGGTACCGGCGGGAGGAGAAGCGCGCGCATCAGCGCAATTGACCCCAATAAGACTACGATCGAGATTATGGTATTGGATTTGGTCCTCGTCATGCTGTCAAACTTGGATCGCAGATAGTTGAAGAAGGCGACAAATGGTTCGCGATGCTGAACTTCGGCGCGCAAGGCGAAACGTATGTCTTGCAGAGATTGTCAGTAACCCCCAACCTAGACAAAGGACTTGATGGCTTACAGTTATTCAGATTAGTTGGCTGGGATTCCACAGTGCTCTCATTGTCCTCGCGGCGGTTGTTCCCGCCGCCACCGCCGCCTTTGCGAGGCGGATCTGGGCTGACCGACCGTCCTTTCAGCGGCGAGTCTCCCCCGGGAGGAAGAGGTGTATTTGCTGCCAACGTGATATCGGGAAGGCCTGCAGTGTTGTAACCCGTTCCCACTGGCAGCGGAGCCTCTGGCGCATCTTCATATTGTGGACTGGGTTCTCGCGACCGCGATGGACTGTGTTGCAAGGTCGGTTTCAGCTCCAGTCGATCCCGGTCTTCCTTGCGCTCGTATGGCTGATGGCGATACCACCCGCTCCCGGGCACATAGTCGTGGCTCCGGAGCCCTGGCGGCGACCACGGCTCCGTCGGTTCGTCGTCCATGTCGTTGTCCGACTCCTCCGACCGGAATCCGGAGTGTTGTGAGGGAAGATCGAGGAGGGGCGAGCGGCGAGTGTTGCTGTTGGCCGCAAAGTCCTCCAGCGAGGCGGAGAGAGAGGGGTGATCGTCGAACATATTATCTATATCGTCGTCCATGGCTGCTGATGGTGGTGCGCGCCGTTGTTTACCTTTACAAATACAACTCTCGACGTAGATCTAGAGATGTTGTTAAGCAAAGAGTCGAGACGGGCGTCAAAGAGATATCGATCTCCCTCGAATGGGGGTGCGCGGAGAAGGTGGGACAGCGAACAGCAGCGGAGGGTACGTCAATGCAGCAGCCACTTGATCCGCCGCCCCGGCTAGACACAGGCTGGACGAGCGCGACTAGTTGAGCACCAAAGCGACAAAGAAGGCCAAGAGTAGCAGCAGTGCATAGATAGACGATTCCAGATCAGCACAAGATGCCTGACGTCGCACAGCTGCCTTAGCAGGTCTGTTCAGATGGGTGATGGTGGAGGTTCCCAACTCGTTTGTCCCAAGTCACTGTGAGGAACCCAAGATAGTTAGATAGGCCGTATGCAGGACGAATTAGCGCTGGAGAAAGATAGGATGGAAGGGCAGACAGGCAGGTCGGTTGGTGGCGACGGCGTTCTGGCTATTGACCCCTCGTCGGATCGTCCCTCGCAGGCCAACTTGCGGCCCTGGGAAGGGAGAAGCCGTCCAGGTGTCAACCAAGGGCATGGCTGAGCCAATCCCTGGGGCGATCGGCCGTCTGAGGTCGCGAGAAACAGAGACCTGCAGGCAAGGGCCGTGCTGGAGGCTGTCTGGTGCCTGTACAGAGAAGGCCGTGGCAGACTGCCTGCGTCAGAGGCAGAGCGCGCGATGGTGGCTGGTCCAATCAGGAGGAGGAGTCCGGCCAGCCTTCACCGCCAACCAACCGCTGCTCGCTCGCCCGGCAAATTCCCCAGACCAAGATCGCCATCGCGAACAATGGGAGGAGGGTTCCTGCGGAAAATTGCCATGCGAGATTTGGACCTGCATGGTATCAGTCGAGGACGGCGTACAGTCAGCGGCTGCTGATATCATCGCTGAGTTTGTCTCTCGGAACGGGACGTTCTCCAGAACCGCAATGAGCCACAGCTGGAATCCCCGCAGACGATCCGATCATCGCCTGATCATCTGACGCTGTCTCTTCTGGGGCTAGCCTCAATGCTCCACGGTATGCCGAATGCGATCGATCTACGACGGCAGGTCGGTTTTCCTGCCGATGCAAGCGGTAAGATCAGTTTCACCTAGTTTCAACAGACAGCAGACGGGCATGACGCACCTACACGGCAGTATCCTACTGTCTGTGGCTATCTCCGGACGGAATAGCAACCCGAGGAGTAAAAAAAAAATTACCTCCTAAATCGAGACGAGTAGGACAAATTTTGAGAGGAGAATAAAACGTTCCATTCATTACATATCTAGTCGCCCTGGCTGCCCAAAGCCCGCATGCAGAAGACCGACACTCCAGTAACAAAGGAAATCGCAAGACAAAGGAACCAAAGCGGCTTGGCTAAAAAAAATGTACAGGGCGAATAGAAGAGTCTATGTCAATTCATCTCTTTTTTTGTCTCACCGGAATTCCCGCTAAAGCACAAAATCCCAGATCTATTGCATGTATGGGGTAATCATGTATTGTTACAGGCCCCCTCCCTCGCCCGTCTTGCATCGCCGTAAACATGCATGACGAATCTGGCGCGAGAAACGGCGGCCAGGACGTCGAGGAAGATGGCAATGAGAAAAGGTCAAGTGAAGTCGCTGTTTAGGCGGTCGCCTCCTTCAGATAGCTGTAAAAAGGAGAGATAGGTTAGTTTCGTCATATAAAATCGCTCCGAAAGAGACAGGAACGTACGTGATCAGGTCGTTGCGGTCCTTGGCCTTCTTCAAACCACCGAAAGCCATCTTGGTACCGGGAATGTACTTCTTGGGGTTCTCGAGGTACTCGAACTATACGCGCTTGTGGTCAGCTTGTGGAATCTCCTCGTTCGGAAGCTTGCGGAATGGCATACCAGAGTGTTCTCATCCCAGGTGAGGCCAGCAGCCTTGTTGGCATCGGTGTAGGAGTAACCCTCGACGGAACCAGTCTTACGACCAAACAGGCCGTGCAGGTTCGGACCGGTCTTGTTGGAGCCACCAGCCTCGACGGTGTGGCACTGAGCGCAACGAGTCTGAAACCCAGTCAATATCTCCAGGCATATTGAGAAGCCGAGGACGGTATTGCTTACCTTGAACAGGTTGGCACCCTTGCTGGCGTCACCTGGGGAAGCAAGCTTGTCAGCCTTCTGATTTTTGGCATTGGGCTTGTTGGCCTGTTCAAGGGACTCTAGCATGGCTTCGCGATCCTCGATCGCATAGAGCATGCAGACGATCTCCATAGCCATCGTGATTGGTTTTACAGTGGTAGGCTGTGGGGGAACTGCGCAAGATGATCAAGGCCACGCGTGGAGGAGAGATCTTGTAGATGGCGAGCCTGACTGTAAGACGCGAACACCAAGGGGTACAGAGAATTCAGTGCCTGCTGCCCAGTATTCATAGATCTCACACACCCCATTTCACTCATCTCCTCTGCTGTGACCATGATTCACTGCGTTGTCCAACCGCCTGAGAAGTCCTTCGGGGGCCCGGCAAAAAAAAAAGCGCAAGATCAGGCTTACCTGGAGCGAAGCTCTCCTTGCCCATTGTGAATGTGGATATGAGAGTAGAACTCTATAAAATACAGACGTCTATAGACAAGACAACAACAAGCAAAAGTCCCAAAAGTAATATACAGGACCAATTGATGGATGGGATAATGGAATATTGCCAGCTGGCAGAAGAAAGACGAAGAGGCAAGATTTTCTGCGGCCCGCGAGAATTTGTAGTCTCCGGGCGAGATGACCGCAGCGGCGGCCCTCCACCAATCAGCGTGCAGGTGATTTCAGCGCTGGCCACGGGGCAACGGGCGCAACCGGAACAGCTGCGAGGCGTCGGTCGCCTCCCTCGCCGGTGCCGTAATGATGATGCTGCAAACGACCAAGGGTATAAGATGGCTACTCTTTCGTGTCTTTGTTGCTCTACTTTATAAAAATAAACGAGGAAGAAAAGATGAATGCTCTTGTACACAATTCCCCATATCCCTTCTCTTCTGCCTCGCTATCGAGGCTAATGGAGAAAGATTCCGCCTCCCAGCACTATCACGGTATTCCAAGGCGGTATCGCATAAATAACTATGGAGTACAAATAGATCTGTACGATCCAGGGCAGAGAAGAAAGTAGTAACAGTAATAGTAGAAGGATTGGTCTTTCTCAATATATCTGGAATATACTGTAGAACAGACGAGTCATCAGGTGACATACATCACTGTCTTGCAAATACGCGGCTCCTGATTTGCTCGCCGGAGAATTTTTTTCCCCTTCTCGTCCGGTGTCCGTCTGTCCGTCTGGCCTGCGTTTCAGAAGACTCGGATCCGGCGGTTTTCCCGTACCAACGAAAGCCCTCGAGATATGTCTGTAGCCCGGCGGGCCGAACCGGTTCAAGAATGTATGTGCTCACATACCTAGGTATGTAGGTATCTAGGCGCACACCTAAAGGATAAGATAGATAGATAGATAACAGATTTGTAGTAATTAATTAATTATGATACAGACGTTTAAATTACTAGCTTTTTGCGTTTGCTAATAGTACATACCTAGCTTGGTAAAATAATTAAAGTTGAAGGTTACATAATCGCGCAGGACGAGTGGACCATGGACTTGGACAGAGGAATGATGATGATGCCGAACTCAAAATACCTACTCGAGGAATCTGTCTGTATAGTCCTCGATATGTCTGTCTGCATCTGCTCATGTTGCAGGCTCCTGCTCCAGATGAGAAGATAGAAATGAGAAGGAAACTCTTTTTTTAAGACAAGCAAGAACAAAAGGATAGGGAGGAATATTCTACTGATCTACAAGTTGCAATCAATAGAACTGCATGAGGCCTATCATCAAGATAAGTAGAGTAAAAAAAAAACGAGGTTCATATGTTATACATATACTTCAAAGCCAACAAGCTACCATATTCCAAGCCACTTTTTCACTGGCCTCTTCCTGCCCTCGAAATCCCGGTACACATTCTCGCCCGCAGCAGCAGCCTCTTGAGAGTCACTCTCCTGAGGCGACCGATCCGCGCCAGGCGCAATAGGTGACTGATCATCTACCATCGGCGTCGGGCCGTCTCGAGCACCTGCCTGGTCTGGTTCTTCTAGTCCGTGGGCGATACGGTACTGCCGCCGCTTCTCAGCGTCCGCGATGCGCTGATGCCGCTTTTCTCGCGTCAATCGCGACATATGTTCGACGTGCATCCTGTAGACCGTCAAGGCCTGGGAAATTGTGTCGATGGGGTGGGTGAGCAGTCCGGACCACGGTGGGAGCAGATGGGCGAACGGAGACGTGCGTTTGAAGTTATCCGTGAAGGTAAATGTTGCCAGGGAGGTGAGCACGCCCTGCAGTTTTTCCACCCGTTAAAAAGATATTCTCCATAAACCAAGAGACATGGTGATTGCAAATGTAGTATACATCGTGAAAAAAAAAAGAAGGGAACATACCATAGCAATCCACACATGAATCCACCGCGACGTCAAGAACTTATGCATAACCGTCCCCTCGGGCGGGAACATGTTCGGATACCGTTTCTTCTTCATTTCTTCCTTTTCCTTTTCCGACAGAGGCGGACCAGGGTAATTGTACGGCGCTGCATCAACGAGCTTGCCATTGCGAGTCGGTATCACCCGTCGCGCCGGGTGGGAAGGAGGACGGAATTTGTCAGGCTGGGCCAGGACGCGCGGTTTTCCTTCCTCTGGTGATGATGATGACTTTCTCCATGATGAGGACGTGAATGCGCGTCGTCCTACTACTTCCCGTGCGGATGATGTTCCTCGACCAGGACCAGCATGTACCGTAGCTGCGGCGTAGCGCAGGGTATGCTGTGAGATGCCCCGTGGAAGGAGGAATTGAGGGATTGACACTGTCGAAGTCATCGCTAGCGTTTTTCTCCTTCCTTTCACCTTTCGTTTTGGCAGACCTCTTCACTCCTTACCACACATGTGGTAATAGTTCCTGGGGAATTTAGCTGCATCAACTGCGCTGCGGAGACAAAACGATTTTCTTCAGAGCGGGACCTGCGGAGGAAGCACGACGCTCACGTGATCTCACATATAGCATGAGTTACGAATGTATCAATCCATTCCTATGGCATTCAACGATAGGAAAGTATTTATATCCTAATAGCCTCCATTTAATTGTTTTTTTTTTCTATTATAGCCGGAATCTGAGTAATCAGTTAGAAGTACTGTACATCGCCTGCACTAATGGGGATAGCCCAGCTAAAACAACACTCCCCGAGTGTTCAATTCAATTCAATCCTGCATGATTTCAATTCCACAGTGAGTCAACATATTAGGGACTCACTCGCGGTGACGCCGCTTTCTCTGGAACGCATTATCTGTCTGAGGAAGCGCATCAAGACGCAGACCTGGTTTCACCTCGGCGCAAGCGGACCAGCTGAGACGCTGCGACTAAGGAAGGAGACGATAGGATGACTTGATGCCGTATTCAGCCCACTTCAACGCTTTCTAGGCCCTCCATGACTTCGTCGCCAACGCCGCCCTTCTCGAGAACCATCTTTACCATCCTCGAGATCAGGCTTCGCTTCACCCCACCTCTTCGTGGCCTCCAGACGCCCGGTACTTCCTCTTCACCAGTAGATGGACCGGCACCGAGCGCCTCTTCCGCCGCATTAGTAGAACCTAATGTGGCTGCGTTCTCAGAATCTGGAACTCCGGGTTGTGTCAGACGGGATGGGGGATCGATTGTGCGAATAGAAAGGAGTTTGAGGCCATCCCCGTCGTCTTCTCGACCAATGGAAACTGCAAGAACCGCGTCTGCGACTGCGATCTCTTCCCTGCTCGGGTCAAAGATGATATTGTTTCCGGCGGAAATAACAAGTAGCGTTACCGGAGGACGGGCCTGCTGGGGATGAGATACTGAAGCCGGAATTTTCTTGTTGGAGCGCGGGTAAAGATATTCCGCCTGGGCCCAGTCGTCCTCGAAGAATGGATCTTCCTCACCCTGAGATTTGAGTTTTGGTAGCTTTGTGGAGAGCAGCGCGAGATGGGTGGTGAGGGAAAGCAGAGGTAGAGGATAGGAAAGCGGCGGAGATAAGAGAAGGATCTGCGAGGATATATATCAGCGGCGTTCTGGACTCGTAGTAGAAAAAGGAAAAAGGCGAGGGATGTGGTGAAAAGGAAGTAAATGCATACATCAATGTAAAGTCTCCAATGCCACCTGCGATTGATGACCAATCTCCTTTTTAGACCTCCAACCATCCCTTTGTCACCATCACTTCCCGCTCCAGAAGACGATCCTACGAGCGACTCTCTCATCATCTCCGACAAGAACACCGGCAAAGCATCGTCGTCCCGAAAGCCTGGGATCTCAATCGACATCTGTACCCACGAGCTCTGTCCGGCCGCCGCATGAGATCCTTCCCGTCCTTCCCCGGCATCCTCGTCGCCGTATTCATCCGGTTGCTCCTGCTCCTGCAGCTGTCTAAGGTCGAGCGCATCCGTCGAAAGAACGGTCTTTTCCACCTCCGCTTTGACTCCCACAATGGCCTCCGTTCCGTCCGCGAAGCCGATGCGTGCGCTGCCATTGGCTCCTGGGAGAATGCCTGTTTCGGCAGTTAATGGCCGGAATTGCGTAGGAGAGCGTCCATCCGGTCGAATAGGGCCGTCCGGTAAAGAAAGTGAAGTGTAGAGGTATGAGAGCTCGGCGGGTGAGAAATGCGGGGTCTGTGACGCGGAGGAGGCTTGCTGGGCAGGTGCCATGATGAGAAGAGAACCGGTAGATCTCCCGACGGTTCGAATTCAAAGTCGATTGAATTCGACAAGATGAAAAAGCGTCGCGGTTTGCCTCCTCAGAGGTTCGTTCATACACGAGCAGCTTGCAGAACTTCTTGCTCAGAGAGCTTTGCGACGCAGCTTTATATGACGCTTTACCCTTTGTCAGAATCGTAACAGACACAGAAAGTAGATCGAAAAAACAGAAACACTACTGCATGGTGTAATCACAAACAATTAAGCATCCAAGGTTATCATTAAAACTGAAGGGTGTTCGTAGCTCCATTAACTAACTTGGCAATTCTTTCATTGCGGATTCGAATTCTCAGTCTCCACTCTGCATCGTCGGATTATCGTTCCTCCACTTGCGACCCGTATCAATTATCGGCCAAGATACAACACTCCATCTTGATACTCTCCTTAGGACTACAGACTTAATTTCTGATGGTACTTGAATGATTGAATGAATGACTGAATAGCTCTTTCATTGAATTATGTGCAGAGGCATATTATAAACGCCAAATAGACAACTATATTACAAGGGTATAAATAACAGGAAGACCAGATCAGCGCCTCTGGTCCTCCTGAATGCTCTGGAAACCAGCATCAGAGCGAGTGAGCGACGTAAAAAAAGAACTGCACGCCATCACCTCTGTTTGATATTTTCAAAACAGAGAAAAGATGGCGGGCCTTTTGATAGAAATGTACAAAGAAGTGAATGCAAAGGGGAACATGCAGTAAAGAGAGGACACAAGGAAACGATGGCACATATGCCGTCCGACTGGAGGTGATTGTAGGGAGTGTATGTGCAAAAACAAAGGAGCGAACGCCATGGACAGATGTTTCTCGCGTCTTGCGCGGTTGGGGGTAAAAAGGACAGATGGCAAAACCTGGTCTAGAGAACAATAAGGGGTATGAAGTCACAAAATCAGAATAAATAGACAACAAGAAGGGGCAAAACAAATAGATGATACATCTATAGATCGCTGTGGGGTATGAAGATAACGAAGAAGATGCAAGAAAGAAATCAACACCGGGCTACCCTTGCCCTACCCAGGTAATAAAAAAGTATAAAACACCGAAACCGCCGAAAATGATTAAAAAGAATAACAAAAAACGAAAATCCACCGTAACCCGTACGCCATTTTGGGTTTAACCACCCATGGATGTCCTCTGCTTTTTTTTTCCTTTTCAGCCATCCTCAACTATTAGCGGTAATGGGAGAAATCCTCGGAGGAGCGAGTCAAAGGAGATGGTTGGAAGGAGCCTTTGGAGGAAATGTTGAGTGCTGCATGGCTCATAGAAGATAAGCTCGTCACGTCAGGTCAAGCCGCCGCTACCTGTAGGTAGATCCAGTTGCGAGAATGCTCGCAGCGACTGAACTGGCCCATTCATTTTCCTCGTAAGGGGGAGTGGGCCACTGACAATTCAACTTTTCACCCTCAGTCTTCCCATCGCCGGCATTTGCGTGCCGTACGGGAGTCATCTCACTGTCACCGAAAGAGACGCCGTCGCGCTTGGCGGAAGGGGAAGGAGTAGGGTATGGGTTCGGTAGCGCATGACCCGAATCATTTGCCAACGTCGAACTGTCATCCTTGTACAGCGAGGACGTTGAATCCTCGTACCGCTGAGCAAGGCGTTTGGCAGCCGCGTTTGCAGAATGCAGCACCTCATCAAGAAGCTCGTCTTCCTCCTCAGGGGTCTCATACCGATGAACAGGATGAGTGGCCATCTGCATAGCTCGCCACGTCCGACTGGAGATTGGTCCATTGCCGGCAGCCATCGACGTTGGGCTCTCGGCTGTGGAGCGGATGGAGCCTTGAGGCATTGACTGCCGCTTAGGAGTATTGCTCGACGGAGAGGCAAGTTGGGCGGGAATATTCGCAGAGTCACTATCATACTTCACGTTCTGAAGAGCTTTATCCAAGTCGGAAAAACCGCTCGATTTGGAGTCCATGATGTTGACGGAGTCAAGGGCCAACGAGGATCGATTAGACCAGCCAGCGTTCGCTTCAATGTCATAATTGGCTCCTGCCGCTGCTGCCTGGTTGCGACCGGAAAGTCTGCGAGCCCGTTTCCGCAGATGCGAAAAGAAACTCTCCTTCTGCGTAGTCGACGAGTTCACCCCACCTCCTAGGCCGTTTAATGCCCTTTCCGCCTCCTGCCTGTGAAGATCCGCGTAGTGATTGCTGTTGGAGTTCACTGACAACTGACGACCGATCTTCTTGGTAGAGGCCTTACCAGCCTCATCCGGGTTCGTACCAGTGTTGTCGCTGTTGTGAGCCAGGCTGGAGTTTGCCTGCGCGGTAACAGCATTTGACAGGGGTGACACAGGTCGAATAGAAGGCAGAATGGGCATTGGAGCCCCGTTGGTCCAGGTTGCTCGCTTGTTCGTGACTGACCGGCCCTTCTGGGCTTGCACCTCGGGCGTGGTATTGTAAGACACCATGGGTGGCCGCGCTTGCTGGTCATTCTCAACAGCAGGAGCAGGGCTTTCTGATCTTCCGATAATCGATCTTCTGAACCAAGAAGATTTTGTAGACAATGCTGGAGAGTCGGTGGAATCCTTGGAGGGAGACTTGAAACTCTTTTCAGAGAGCTTCCGACCGAGCAGTCTCGAAGCTGACGACTTGGGTCTCAAAGGATCGACTGCATCAGCAAAGTACTCATGGTTCAAAGCCTGAGTGGTAGTCGGCCTGTTCTTGGGATCCCACATCAAGCACCACGTCACGAAGTTGCTCAAAGCCTGGGGCCACTGCGGTGGCGGCAAGATACTCTCCATGGAGTGAGGTGCCATCTTTTCACATCTGTTAGTACTCTTGTGGAAGATAACGTGTTTTTTTTTCCATGTACGTACCTTGGGGAAGGTGAAGCCCAATTTCTGGGCTAATCTATTGCCCTCGCGCCATTCACCACCACCGACTTTAGCACCGGACTTGTTGTACCAGTTTCCTGGACTGCCCATAATCTCGCAGATACGCCACACCTGATCCACTTCATTACCCCCAGGGAACAGCGGCTTCAATGTAGCGATTTCCACCGCCATGGCACCCACTGCCCACATATCGACGGGTGATGAGTACTCGCCGGCCCTGAGGAGGACCTCTGGGGCACGATACCATCGCGTCGACACATACGTGGTGTATGGCGACTTGGAATGGGTTTCTCGAGCAAGCCCGAAATCGGCAATCTTAACCGTGTAAGTAGGTGGCGTCGAAGGGGGTGTGACGAGATTGGAGTATCGACTGAACGCGGAATCGTTGGGTGCAGACGTGGAAACCAGGATATTTTCCGGCTTAATATCCCGGTGGAAGAAGTTATGAGCATGAATATGGTCCAATCCCGATAAGATCTGGTATAGTATGCTCTTCACATGTCTGCCCTCCAGATACTTGTGATCCCGTGCTTTCATCAATTGGTAGAGGTTGCCGTCCATGTACTCCATGCAGATGTGCAGCTTCTTGGTCAGGGGGTCCAGGAAGATGTCGAGAGCGGGAACCAAGTGAGGATGACTCGGCAGGGTCCGCAGGAAAATGACTTCTCGGAGCTCTAGACAAGAAGCGAAGGAGTCAAAAGTCTTCTTCATCGTCTTGATCGCGACCTGTGGTGGCCAAGTTAGCCTAGTGAAAGAGAACTACGACCCAAAAGGGTCATCGTACCATGGTTCCCCGGCGTGCTACGTTCGAGCCAGCGGTTCGGACTCGAGCGAGAGACACGCTCCCAAAGGATCCATCCCCGATTTCCTTCAACACCTCAAATCTATCTTCCAGGGTAGCCATGTTGTTCTGGGAGGAACCCCTGAGTGAATAATCGTGGGAGACCGTCATGGCTCTTGTCTTCTGCCTGCAGATAGAAACGAGAGTTTGGGGAAAGGCTACATTGCAGTCAGTTGGCTGCGTGAACAATTTCGATCCCCATTGATTGGATCTCTTACCGGAGAGAGGGTGGCGTCGAAGACGGTAGCTCTTGTCTCGTCTCGGGATTAAGAGTAATTCAGCAAGACGCGGTGCTCATTCTTCGGTAACGGACACGACGTTGGTGCTTGAGACGAGAGCAAGTGATTTGGAGTGGGTAAGATTAGGGGGTAGATGGATATTAGGTTGAAAGACGATTAGGAGATGATGATGATTAGGAGACGTGGTAGCGAGTGATGCAAAGCAGTATAGAATTAAAAGGGGGAAAGAGAGAGAGAGAGAGAGAGAGAAAGAAGAAGAGAGAGAGAGAAAGGAGAGACA